AAGACTTAATAGAGGGGAAAGATTATATTATAACTAGGTTATATATACCCTACTTTTATACTTTTCCACTTTAATATAACCCACTTTAATATTCACTTTATACTAATTATATTAGGACTGAAAGATTAACTCTTAGTCCTTAAACGCTAACTAATCAAATAAAGACTAAATAACTTTATATTAGTCTAGGACTAATAACTTTATATCTCAGTCTAAAACTAGTATAATAATAATGCCTATTATCTTATACCTCTAGACTAGTATAAATAGCTATACTCTTTAAGCATTAGATAGAACTTAGCTTACTAGCTATTAATAAAATATCTTTACCTGAATACGCCTAACCTGCCTTATTCACTATTAAGAGATATAACACTTCGCAACCGCTTAGTATCACATGCCCTATGACTCTGCCAATATAAACTTAGAACAGACTAGTTTATCCCTTGGAAAACCCAACCGTCACAATAAGTCAGTTAATAATAACTATAATGCTATTATAAAAGATTCCTATTAAGGGTTCTTCTAATAAAGGTAGTTTAATTATAAAGTCTATAGTAATTAAGTCCTAAGGTCTTTATACTACTAGTAAGGGTTATAACTATCTATAGGGTTTATATTATTATACCTTAGTTTATATGCATATATTTTATTACTTAATTACTTTCTTTACTATTTTCTTTATTTCTTCTATCTAGTATTTGCCTTTAAGCCTTTTAACTGTTTTAGTAAGGCCTTAGTGGCTATATAGGGGATATTTATATATATCCTATATTAATTCTTCTCTAAATTTATTTAATACCTATTATATTTAAGGTATTTATTTTCCTATTTAGTAATTAAAGCTTATTTCTTATAGGCTTTATAGTCTATTAAGGTCTTTTTCTTATTCTTTAAATGCTAGTATTTTTATAGTTCTTGCAATAACTTTATTATATATTTTATATTCTTCTATTACTTCCTTAATTTATTTCTCTAAAAACTAATTTATATATAATTAACTTATTAATTTTAATATTTTATAGTAATTAGGGTTATAATTAGTTTTAAGGTTATAATAGTAGTTAAAGATTTATTAGAACTTTATAGGCAAGAGCTAGATTTTATTATTCTTATATTAGTAGAGATCCTCTAATTATAGTTCTCCTCTGGCCTAGTCTATAAAATTACCTAGTTCCCTCTATTCCTATAGGTTTTTATATTTAAGTAGTAAGAGTAATAGTTTCTTCTTTTTAATGCGCATTACTGTCCTTATAGGCATTATAAATTAGTATTCTCTTCTATTATTTTTCTCTAGGAGTTTCTTACTTATCTTAATATTACTAGTATTAAAGTCTAATTATTAGCTAATAGTATCTATATATCTATTATTAAATCCTTTATAATATATAATAATAAAATTAAACTTATATAAGTATTTAATATAATATAATTATTATTAATTTAACTCTTAAGTTATAGCAAAGTATAAGATATTTTAATAGTTAATATAAACCTTAATTTAATAGAGGCTTCCTATAAAGTAATATTTAAATTCCTTAAAATAGTTAATAATAGCTAGGAATTCCTTATTATAAATAGGATAATTAAGTTTTACTCTATATAGTTTATAAGAATAGAAGGCAATAGGGTATAATCTCCCTTTTTTATCTTATTAACTAATTTATCCTCCTAGTATAAAGTCTAATATATCTATTTCTAGTTCTATTTCTTTTATTAAATTAAATATAATTAATACTAGTTTACTAAGGATAGCATTTTATAATTTCTTAAATACTTTCTAGGCTTCTTAGGTCTAAGTAAAATGTTTATCTTTCTTAGTAAGCTTAATTAATAGGTTTACTATTCTACTGAAGTCCTTAATAAAGTATTAGTAGTAATTAGTAAAGTCTAAGAAGCTCTATACTTCTTTAACTATTATAGGCTATAGCTAATCCCATATTGCTGAGATTTTCTTTTAATCTATTTAGATTTCTCCTAGTAAGATAGTATATCCAAGGAAGTTAACTTCTTTAATATAGAAGTAACTTTTCTCTAGTTCTACTAATAAGTTAATATCTTATAATACTTTAAGGACCTTATAAATATATTCCTTATATTTTATATTATTATCTAAGAAGATTAGGATATTATCTAGGTAATAAACTATAAAGCTATTAAGATAAGGTAAATTTTATAATCCTAGTATAAGTACTATAGTACCTTAGTATTAAGTTCTTCTTTAAAGAGTTTATTATAAATATAATACTCCTATAGTATATTCTTAAGTCTATCTTTTATCTCTGGCTTCTTTTCTAGCTATTTATTTAGGCTTTATAGCTAGTTCTTAAATATTATAATAGTCCTTCTAACTCTCTTTACTCTGCCTTATATTTATTTATATTATATTCCTTTTAGAGGTAAGTAAATACTTAGTTTATACTATACTTCGCTATAGGGGTTAATTAAAGTTTAAGATCTCATTTCTTTATCTATTTCTAAATTATTTTAATTATTATTAGAGAGATTAGTAATATTACTAATCTAGCTAGTTCTCTAATTAATGCAGGGATTATAGCATTATAACTATAGGTATCTTAGTATTAAGTTATATCCTAGTATAGGTAGGATATTAAGCTTAGTATTTTATCTTTATATTCTAATAAATATCTTTAAGTAATTAATCTCTTAGGTAATTAGTCTTCCTTTATAGTTAAATAGTTAGCCTTCTAAGTTCCTTATTATATAAGGATAAGTCTTATATTACTATAGTAGCTATAATTAGTTAATTATATAAGGGTTAATTATATTAATATTAGCTCTGCTATTTATAAGAGCGGTTAGCTATATTCCCTTGATTTATACTTCCAGTTTTAAGCAGGTTTATTAACCATTCTTAGTTATCTATAGAGCTCTTAAAGGTAATATTATATCTCTTTTATTTATTTTACTATACTATAGCTCTATTAGTATAGCAGGCTATTATCTTTTCCTAATTAGCTTAAGTAATATAGGTTATATTCTTTATTATAATATAAGGCATTATTAAGGTATTCTTATTCTTATTTTAATTTATCCTAATATTTTTTATTAAGTTAATTATCCCTTGCATTTTCTTATTTAAGATATCATAATTTATAGGGCTTTAGGGTAACTCTTTTATTAGGGTCTCCTTCTCTATTTTATTTCTATTCCTAGATTAGGTATTTATTATCTAGTTCTTTAGCTATATAGACTTTCTATCTCTATTAATTAATCTTTCTTCTATTCTTAATATATTTAAGGGCATAATATTTAATACTCTAGTTAGTTTTTAAATATACTACCTTATTATTATATTATTTATAGATATAATATTTAATAATATTAATAGGGATATATACCTTCTAGTATATATATTCTTTTACTAGTGCTAGGAAGTAATTATAAATAATCTTATCTTCTTTATAGATAGGATAATAGTATATAATATAGGATATCTAAGAGATCTTAGTATAATCTAGGTCTATAGGGTATTTATGCAGTTCTGCTATTACTATTAGACTTTCTATAAGGGTCTTATTGCTATTAGATTCCTCTTTTATTACTGCTTAAATATAGATATTATTATCTTATTCTATCTTTATAACTTCTTATACTAATTCCTAGTATATTTATTATTTATTATCCTAATATTAAATTCCTTCTTTATTATACTAAGGCTTAATATTATTAAACTATAGGTTATTAATCTAAGTATTCCTCTTGGTTTCCTTTAATTCTTTTATTAGTTTTTAGAATTATTATTTCTTAATTATTTATCTTATACTGGCGAAGTTAGGATTCATATAGTGTTTACTAGGTTAGTATTATATAGTTTTAATAGGAATTTTATTGCAGAGTTAGTTAAATATAAGTAGTTTATCCCATTTAAGGATAACTTCCTTATATATTACTGTAATTATTCTATCTTTATTAGCGAGATATATTGCTTCTAGTATAGGCTACTATTATCGCTGGCGTTATTCTTCCCTTTTAAGTTTATTCTTATATGTCGAGATATTGCGTCGACTCTAGAAACAGTCACAGAACAACTGGCTACTGTTGCATTAGAAAGCAAGCCAGTCGTAATCTTCGTTAATGACGCGCCTGCGGTAGCACAACTGGTCGATCTTCTGGATGGATGTCCAACAGTTCAGCCTTCGATTTTCATCGACCTTGAAGGAGTGAACCTACTATACCAATTACCCCGCGTATCAGGTCCTGATACACGAAATCATGGTTCGTGCACGCCCTGTCACGGCAGATCAGATGGTTTAATGACAGTGATTTCCGTCTGCTGTACGAAGGACTGCTTGTGATTTACTAAATTACACACTTTTCATGCGTGCGCTAGCCCCCTGTCCCCATTATATTCATGAAATTACATCCTTTTTATACGTGCACGTTAGTTGGAATTTGCTACTATACCAATTACCACTAGTAATGGCACCTAGTACCGTTATTCTGGCCCGTGCATCATTCTTTTGACCTTAGGTTCTAGGCCCGAATACAAAAATTACTTGACCTGTGCGCCTTCCCTCGCTTACATGTTATGGTTTAGTGTGCTAATCCCCAATCGCTGCAAATCAATAGAAAGCGGCTGCATGATGACTCTAGGTATAAGCAGATAATTAAATCCAACCCGGCCTACATGCCTGCTATTTCTCTAGAAAAGACGGATGGATAACAGAGTTTATTCCTTCCCCGAGGCATGAGAGAACAACCTTGGTCTATGGCTGTTCTCGGTTTTGGTGGAAACCCTGTCAAAACGGCTTGCTTGACCGGCTGCAGCCATAAAAGCCCCTCAGCACAGATTGACCACACAGAGTTTGATGGCGGGCAGCTGACCACGCAGCGATGGAAGCACAGGGCCATCGGGCGTCCAGTGGCACTCTTGCTGTCTGACTCTGCCCTTTCTGAGAGGCTGCGTTATCTGTGCGAGATACACCTGTTTAGGCATTGCAGTCAAAAACCCTCAATAGCAAGGCTCTGCGGCCATCATGCAGATTTGCTTGACGGACATTAGCTACGTCAAGCTCGACAATATTGATTCCGGCCTGGGCCAAGAGCAAGGGAACAAAAGGTACATTCAATACATGTTTACGCCAGTCGGATCAAAAGCTCCAGTTATCATCCGCCACGAATCCAGCACCTGGACAGCAAGGGCGTTCATTAACTGATCTATCACCTCCTGCCAAGGTGCCGCTACCGTAGACCCGCCAGACTACAATAGCTCCGTAAATTTGCTTTTAGTCTATTAAACAAAAGTATCCTCTAGGTGAATTAAAAACTCTGACAAGTTTGCTGTCACTTATACTATTCATTCAAACACATTCCATGATAATTCCCTCCTATGCGATGAAGCAAATACAGGAGTTTGACTACGACTTGGTAAAACTGCAGACGGCGTCTACGGAGATCCGGCTGTTGGAGCTCTATCCGTCCCAAGCCCATAATTTGAAAGATAAACCCAATGAGGCCGCTAACCCGATCTGGGGCGACCGTCTTGTCTGCCGTCTGTATACAACCACTATCGAGAAGCCGTCGAACCTTTTCATGGCTTTGTCGTATGTTTGGGGCGACGGCAATAAATCGCGAGCAATTTGGGCCGTCAGCTCACCTGGAGACGAATCCAGGCATTGGACAGAAACTAGCATACCTATTACAGAGTCGCTAGAAATGGCGCTGCGACACCTGCGCAGGCGGCACGAGACCATTACGCTATGGATTGATCAAATATGTATCAACCAAGCAGACAACAGCGAGAAGAGCAAACAGGTCGGGATGATGGGGAGGATCTACTCGGAGGCAAAGCAAGTGCTAGTATGGCTAGGCCCAGCAGCAGACGGCTCTGATAAATTGATGGACGCGTGGCAACATATTGGTCAACAGGCTCGTGACCTGGGGCTCGAGAGCTTCCTAACGCGGGAGCGATACCACTTGCTATCACCCATCATAACAAATCAAAACCCGGCCGATGAAGCAACGATGCATTTTCAAGCCTTGCTTGCTCGCACTGCTGACGTCTTTGCTCCGTTAATAAAACATATGGCGCTCAAAAGCTGGTTTGAGAGACCATATTTCTTACGCGCCTGGATCGTACAGGAATTCTCCTTATGCACTGAAGCTTTGTTCGTGTGCGGGACCAAGGTGATTCCCGTCGAGCTCACCCAGCTGGCATTATTGATGCTGCAGTTCGCTATCAGCAATATGTTCCGGAGCGACTATAGGATGCTCCAAAGGCCTGAGATGCCTCCGGAGCGCCTGGAGGAGGTATCCGAGGAGCCAATATCGCGATTATTTAGTTGTCGTTCACTTGAACAAAAACACAGAGGCGACCAACTACATATGTTACTACGGAAGCTTTTTGTAGGCCATGACACACGTGCTACCGTGCACCGTGACCGGGTGTTTGCGCTTCTCGGTCTCGCAGTCGACGCCGACAGGCTAGGCATCCAGCCCAATTACGACTCCTCCGAGGGAAGCACTGAGCGTATCCTGACGCAAACTGCACGTGCGCTAATTGAAAGAAGTGGTCGTGTCGACACTCTCTGCTATTCCCAGCTCCCAAAGGTCCCTGATCTAGCTAGCTTGCCATCTTGGGTGCCTGACTGGCGATCAAATCTGCGACCATCATTCTATACGCTTAACGAGCGCGCCGACAAGCACCTATTTGCCGCAGCAGGCAAGGATAGCGTGGTAAAGTTTATACCAGCCCCTAAAGGCAATCCAAATGTCCTGGGACTGCGAGGCTATATGGTCGATTTAATTGAGAAAGTGGCTGAAGGGGGTTCTTGGACGGACCTGAGCTGGGACCATGTCAGATATCTGGGCTTCTTCTCTCAGGTGGACGAGTTGTGGCAGCGTTCTATGGGAAAAGCCTATCCAATCCACGGTGAACTAACATATCGTCGCAAAGAGGAGGCGAGATGGCGCGTGCCCATTGGCGACGTCTACTGGACAGTGGAGGGGGATTCACAACGGGCAACACCTGATGTGGTTACCTACCATGACCAATGCCTGAAGAACCTGCAGCACTTCGACGAAATGAGCCGGCGGACTTCTGTGGGGGCAGATGGATGGGCAGAATGGGAGGAGCAGCGCCAAAGAGGGCAGATAGGACAGTACTACCGCGACAGTATGAAGGTCATGCAAGGAAAGCGGCCTTTCCTGACACAAATGGGGTATCTTGGCATGGGCCCTGCAGAGGGCCAGCCAGCCGATGTAGTTGTTATCTTCTGCGGTGGGAGGATCCCCTTTGTGTTACACCCTTTAGACCAGCTAGGTGGGTCCCAGAGAGGCGAGAATAGCCTGTTTTCATTTGTTGGCGAGGCGTACTGCGATGGCGTTATGGATGGGGAGGTCACTACAAGGGAGGAGAAGACTTTCTTCCTCGCTTGACTAGGAGCTGTGCCATAATCTGACTGGTCTCTGTTGTGTTCCTATGTCTAAACTTTTACTTCGACGTTCAGCAGAAAACGATGGAATGGTGGTAAAGAAAACTGGTGTAGTATTTATTGGGTTGAATGATACTGAAAGTAAAGGCTGTATGCTCTACATGGTTGATAACACTATGTCACTGCGATCAGAGACAAATCTTGTGGTTCACGGCGGATAGATTATACGGCGGCTCCAATCTTGCTTTAGCTTTAACATTCCTGGTTGTTTGCTCTTGTTAATTCAGGATTTTCTTCACGGGTTTTCGAGGCTTACTTTAGTCTGTCGATTTTATGTGCATGTACTAAGAAGGGAATGATACACTTCAGGAAGGCCACGGGTCCGAAGGACCAGGTATATGGGCTCTTAGGCCTCATACTAGACCACCTGAACGACGATCCCCTTCGACCGGATTATTCACTATTCCTTGCTCAGGTCTATACGCGAGCCGCTTTTGAAATAATGCAAGAGTCCGGGAGCCTAAGAATTCTATCTTATGCAGATAGACAATATGAAGTTAAAGAGCTCCCTTCTTGATGCCACAACTTCAATAACAAGGCTCTTTTTAACCCGTTGCCATACTATTAGAACATCTTCAACACATATAACATAGAAGGTTTCAAGATCAGCCTGGATGCCGTCTCCCATCTTGCGGTACGCGGATATCTTCTTAATGCTATCGCGCATATTACAAAAGCACGAACCCCTCAGAGTCTCTTAGGAAGGTCTTTCACTTGATAGATTAAAAATAGCCTTAAACTCGCGGTAAAGCATTACGTTACTAAGGACGGCCAATGCCGGGCCACCGAGATTTCACTCCATATTAAAGAAGCATACGGTAAAACATTGATCGGTGATACCTCCTAGTCCTACAGTCCAAAATCAACTCTAGTAGAGTTGATTTTATGGACCCACTTTAAACCTAGTAGGGTTGATTATTGCCAGGGTGTAGAGTTGATTTGACATTATCCCATATACAGGAATAGTACGGAGTACATATACGAGCATTTACAAGGTTGCGCGAACACCAAGTTGCATTTAAAACCTAGAAGGGCGTGCCACGTATCCTCATTATATACGGCCAATAGCAATTGCTTTCTGTGCTTGGCTATGCAGCCACAGATAAAAAATCGCCTGATTTGGATACCTTTGCGAGTGGGTAGCCGCGTAGATGGTTTCGCACGTCCAGGGTTTGGGGTGGTGTCGCCGATGAGTGATGACGACGGTATCTGGGCCGTCCACCCAGGTCTAGGTGAAACACCAATGGGGCTGTTCTATAAAAGGGCTGCACGGGCTCCTCGGTTCAAATGAGCGGGAATGTGGACTCTAGATTGTAGGGATCCGGGGCGGCGAGCGGGTTCGTCGGAGATAAATCCATCGCCGCGGGTTACGGCTCTAGGGTATTTTACTTTAAAGTTTGCGTGTTGATTTTGACCTCAATGTAGACTGTCACGCAACTACTGATCCGCATCGAATAGGAAATTGGAGTCAGAAGATAAAGATAGTAACTTTACGCCCTCATATCTCAGTTCTATCGTTTCCAGACACCCGCCTCCCAAACTATTGCCGCTAGTTACTGTCTTATACTTTTCCAACTGCACATCTAGAATAAAAGCCCCATATAAATGTATTAACGTACACGATAAGCGTGCGGGACAGATAAGTGCGCGGGATAAAAATTTCAACCTTCCTAAGACAAATTATAATAAAAGCATAATATATTATCTAATCAATTAAAATTAATTACTATATTAATTCTCATTAGTCTAAATACCCTCCTAATAGGTTCTTGCATTATAACCAGTCTTGCCGCATATACTATAACGCCAGCCACCTGGTTGCTTTAACCTTCCTTGACTACCACTTCTTGATAATTTGCCTATTATCTGCGTATCTATATCTGCCTAATTAATTATCTCTTAGGCTTTCCCTATAGTTATATTCCCTCTTCTCTGTAGGCATATTCTTTTTACCCTATGCCGCCGGCTAAGTATCTTATTTGCCTAATAAAGTTACTAGATCTTAGCCCCTTATAAGGCTATCTTATATAGAATAATACTCTGCCCTTTCTTAAAATACTTTATAGCTTTAATTATTAACTCAGGGGAGCTGCTCTTATGGTTTCTAATCCTTCCTTGCAGATACTTAGAGTGAGACTGGGTCTCTAGTATTATCTTTAGTGTTACAACCCAACAGATAATTACGTAGGCCCCACTATTTTTTCACTAAGGCTATAAGCAAAAACAAGAGGTGAAGAAATGAGCACTTATGGAAAGTGCATAGCGTTAAACTGGGTCAAAGGCCTGGCCCCTAAAGTACAAGCACTGTTAAAACAGATATGGGCTCCACCTATTGGAGAGGTGGTGTGTTATACCAGCAGGTCTTTGCAAAGGGTCTATGTGTTACGACCCTAGCGGTTACGTCACGTGTACCCCACAAATTTCATGCAACTTGACCCATTTAATCGTGAACTCGCTTCCCGAGTTCACCAAACCAATCACAAGTGGATCACGCTTACACGGGATTACCACGCTCCAAGAGCACCTGTGATCCAGGATCACTACGATCCCTAGGCCTAAGCGATCCCTTAAGGATCTCTTGAGTATATATACATTCACTTAGCATTAGTTAGTACACTTAGCTCGACAGCTATCAATAAAACATCTTTACCTGAATACGCCTTACCCGCTCTATTCACTATCAAGAGACGTGACACTTCACTACGCTCAGTATCACAATGCCCTACGTATCTGCCAACATAAACGTAGTACGGACTAGTTTATCCCTTGGGAATCACAACCGTCACACTATGGAGCGAATACTTTGAGGTGGGAAGAGGTCATGATCTGGCAAGCCTAGAGACAGAGCGGGAAAGGACAGGAGTTGCCGTGCAACAAGCCACACAGGCCTGTCGTTCTGGCAGAACGACGGTTAGGGTTAGCGAGATTGTATAGCGATCTGGGGTCGTGCACGGACCATTCCGCCAGAACAACGTTCCACCAGGACAATGATAATAATTGGAGGTAATAGACTCTTCACAGTCAACTGGGAGTAAACCCCAAGTGCTAAGAATAGCCAGTAGAAGGTAAAAGAAATAACGTGCTTTATAAGCGAGCATGACAGACAAGCGAGCGTGATATAAATCCCTCACCTTACATTAATACTATTAGATCAATTAAATCGTAACTGCTGTCACGACCCAAGGATGCGGTCACATGACCCCCACTTTTTCGGGCCAATCCCGAGACAACAACCAGGACCGACGAGTTCACTCATCGGTCCTACCCTGTAACTACCATCGGTCCCAAGACCGACCACCTCAACACAACGGTCCATACCCTGAAGAACCATCGGTCCTCAGAATCACCCAAGTATATATACATTTATTTAGCATTAGATAGTACACTTAGCTCACCAGCTATTAATAAAACTTCTTTACCTGAATACGCCTAACCCGCTCTATTCATTATTAAGAGACGTAACACTTCGCAACGCTCAGCATAAACGCCCTACGTATCTGCCAACATAAACCTTGAACGATCTAGTTTATTACCTTAGGAACCGCAACCGTCACATCGTGTCTATACAGGCAAATATTCCGACTGCCTTGCTTGCAAAGGCTGCCGGCAGGACCAACCTCAATCCTTTAAGAAAAGGCAGGAAAAAGAAGGTCTTTTGTAGCCGATACCAGGAAATCAGCGGAAGGTCATAACCCGATACGGCTGTAAAGTGTGTGATGTACCTATTTGTAACACGGCTGACTGCTGGTACTTCTATCACCACCAAAGAGAAGTGCACAGGAAAGTACCTTCAGTAGCGCTCATTTTAATTGGCTCCCGACCCTTATCGTGACCTTGTTGATGGCTTGTGCTGCTCAAAGAGATAGGAAATAGAACTCTAAATTACATGAGTCAAACGCGTACCCGCGTTGCGTGGTCGGTTATGGGCCAACGTCGAAAAGACCCTGACTCTAACTTCAGTTCCTATCGATGCATAAGTACTCATCACGCACTGACAAGTGTATTTTCCCTCTACTACATTTATCATCTGAGAACAAGGCCTTGGCTTGCCTTGAAGCGTTAGGCAGAATTCATTGTAGCGGCTGCGCCAACACCACTTCTACTAGCCTGCAGGGGCCGTCCCATCTGGTTTCCCCTCATGGATGCGGCCTGAGCAGAGCATGAACCTACTGCGCCTGAAAGCATTCACTGGTCTTACGCCAATCATCAGCCGCAGCAGTATCGCGCGCCTGAGGCATTTTTATTTATTTATCTCCCTCTCACCGTCACTTTCTACCAGCCCCGCACGACCTTTCTCGCTTGGCTCTAGAATCTGCGGATCACGATAATGAATCACCATATCATCCAGCATATACAAGAGAATGAGGTCTTGGTATGAGAAGGTCGCAAAGGGAAGACAGCGAGAAGATCAAAGAAGAGGCTCAATCGTACGTATTCTTGTACTTTGTTAGCGTCGTTATCGGGGAGGCTAACCATTTATCGGTTGTATTTCAGGCTGCACAGCTGTCCAAGTCCCTGGAACAAGATGTGCCTATACCATATGACTTTGAGTCTGAGCCCTTTGGCTTATTCATCCTGCATCCATCGCCTGAGATCTACCAGGTACATGGCGATATTGATGTTGAGTAAGCTCATTCAATCCACTTCGTTGCCCTTGTCTTGCGTGCATTGACTAATCGCATCTAAAGCATCGTCGCCGTTCATGGATTGAACGGTAGTGCGAAAAAGACCTGGACTGACTCAGCTACTGGGTATTGCTGGCTGGAAGACCTACTGCCTGAGTCGATTCCGAGATGCAGGGTGATGACCTTCGGATATGACTCCAAGCTGGCTTTCAGTAAATCTCAATCAGGCGTCGAAGCCTTTGCTCAAGATCTCTTGAACCGCCTGAGAGTGGTCAGAAGTAGTTCCGAGGCAAGTGTATAGGCATATATCTGGTGACTATTGTTGACTCCTTACAGGCCCGAAATCGACCGCTAGTATTTATAGCTCACAGTCTAGGCGGTATCGTAGTAAAAAAGGTATATGGGATTCCTGATTTACGTGGTTTATAAGATGTTGATTCTGTAAGGCTTTGATCATAGCGCACAACGGCTCCGAGGTCTATATTCCGATTCTCAAGTCCACGACCGGCATTGTCTTCTTGGGTACCCCGCACCGCGGATCTGACTTGGTGCCTTGGGGCATCCTGCTCTCAAATCTCGTCAGAGTAACCAGCATAGGAAGAAACATACGAAAAGAGCTCTTACATACACTCAGTAAAGACTCTAACACGTTAATGGAGATCTCAAAACAATTCCTGCAGCGCGCAACGTCTTTAAGGATCATGAGCTTTGTTGAACAGCAGGTAGAAAGTCCACTGACAACATTGGTAACATCTTATCTCTTCTGTTGTAGTAGTGGAGTTCTTACAATTGGCAGGTTGTTCCAGAGTATTCGGCCGTCATGGGTTTGCCTAACGAGACTGTGCTTCCAATGAACGCTCACCATCGTGGGCTTACTCGATTCTTGCGAAAGACTGACCAGAATTATATCCTTGTTGAAGCGGCGATCAGAGAAGTTGCATATGGAAGCATGGATAAATGTCACACTTGTCCAAAGGCAACACGCTACTCGATCGAGAAAGCTAACCTTGACGTAGGCGAAAATGATTTGGATGATACCCTCAAGGTGGCCTCGAAAGATGCAACAATGACCTTGCCAAATACCACCGACTTATCGATTTCCAGACCAGTGACAATACTGTCTCCCAGTAGTATCACTGGCCATTCATTCACCTTTAGGTGCGCAAGCCCAGGTAATAGGCCACCTACACCGGCAGTGTCCTTTTCCATGCCACCGACAAGTAATATGGCTCCAAAGTTCCAAGGCAGCACCTTTGATAGAAGACCAAGTTCTTCCACAGACAGCCTGAAGAACCAATCGCTGGATCTGCCGAACAAGCCAGTAGAGATTGTTACATTACGCATTAGCAGTCTGAGGCGTCAGCTTGATCTGAAAAGCTATAAGGAAAGAGATATTTCTTATGTTATAAAACTCCCAGGGAATATAGAAATCTCGCGTTTAAATTCCTTGTTGCAAAAAGAAGTCAATGGTGCGTTAAGGCTCAAGCGCCATTAGTCATTACTAAGTCTCGTAGGGATCAAGAAAGTCAAGTCTTTCAGGTTTAACAACCAGAAAGGTAATATCCGATTCCTGTGGGAGGATATCTTCACGACTCCTGTCGAGGTCACATGTGGCCGACCGTCTTACAACAAAGCAAGAGGCTTGAATATTAACATAGATCAATCAATAGCCTCATTCATGAGCAAAGCCTTTCCCCATCCAATCACCGCTAAACTTAATAAGAATAGTCAGAACGGGCACTCCACGTTTGACAAGGTTTCAGCTTCGGTTCTTGAAATCGGACAAGATGACGCTGCTGACCTGGTTGTTTCATTCATGAGAACTGTTAGAGTCCCTGACAGCGATAAGAAGTACGATTTACCTCCTGGACTGGGGAGATTCCCGCTGTTCAACGTTGCGCCTTTTAGTCACAGTTTGCCTCCTTCGATGGTGGCTAAAGGCGGATTCTTCTTCCCTATGTATCGTAAGTGCAATAAGCAATAAAATGCCGGCAGGATTAAACTCACTTAAATTGCCTAGAAATGGAAGCAATGTGGATTCACTTCCATTCCGAAGGACAGAAAAGGTTTGCTATTCGACCCTACGTTGGCGGCGTCAATGGCCTTTCAGGGGAATCATCTGAAGGGGGCATGGCGTCGATACTTCGTCGAATGAATTCTGAGGCCCGAAAGCAGGACTACATCGTACTCCCAGAGCAATTATGGCTTGACGGGATTGCTATTGCACCTGGAATGGTCAGCCAGTTTGTTGCCACGGAAATGGCTCCTCCACGATCGCAAGAGAGTAGGAATCATCGAAGCAGTAGAGAACTAGAGGCGTTAAGCAGCCCTTCACCCCATGATACTCCCAGTGGAGCGTCTATTGAGTGGCAGATTACTGGTCGTGATGAAGTCGGAGGACTGCAGCTTCAAATAGTTCCTGCATTTGAGACTGACTCGATGCACGCTGGTTCGACTAGAAACGTCTGCATGACGAGCCACGGCGTTATATCTGCTGTTACTCCGCCGCTGACCATAGAACATGTCTTTGATGTGCTGTCGACCCCTGCCGAGCTCAACCTAAAAATAGGTCAAGTGATCCATGTGGAAGACCTCAAGGCATCAGCGCAATCACGCCCCAAGGTCGTCTCCGATTTGCTGAACGAAGGCCCATCAAAGCTCACTTGTCAAGACGTTGTTGAGCTTGACGCAGTTTACGAGAGCTACAACGAGTGGGTGTTTGACATCAAGCTCCTCGGCAGCCAACACCCTCCTATCTCGCTTAGGGTACGTGCATTCAAGCTTACCCCAGTGCTCACTATCTCATCCCGATTTTTAGTTTAATGACAACGATCCATTTGACTCTGTGTTGTATATCGTCGCGAAGGAACTACAGGCATCGAAAGGTTCGCTGGCCGTAGACATTTTCGCCGGGAATATTGCTCAGGGATGGATTCCAATCTCATCTTGGCGAGCTCTCGCCTGGCTTCCAAAGCTTACGGAGAAGGATTATGCACAAATCCGGCAGTGCGAGCTCACTTTTATAAGCCTTGTTCTTCATCGTTGATATTAATGGCCAACTAAGAGAAGCTTTTGTTAGATCCCTGATGGCGTTTCTGGCCAGTGCTATATTTGCCGTGTTGTATGCGACAGGACAGTAGAAACTACATACAGCAATATCTTTCCACTTCTCCTGGCCCTTGACGAGGACGCTACTGTTGAACATCTGAGAGAAGTCATTCACAAGACAACAGGCGTTTCTACAGCTGGATTTTTCATCCAACGAAATTATTTGGCCTCCCCGCCTGTAGACAATGGTGAAAGACTCTTCTTAAGGAACACCCTCACTACGTCTTAGGCGGGAAATATACCGCAATATCTATTGACGCGGGTTAAGCCATGTTTCAGCCAAGTTGGACAACTATCTCATTTCTGGAAGCCCTTACTCAACCTATTCCTTCCATCTGGCCCGCCAATCGGCCCAATGGAAATTTATCTCAAGAGTCTTACCGGAAAGATCATCATAATAGAATGTAAACCATCTAACACGATTTATAAGCTCAAGTTAAAGTGCCAGGATAAAGAAGGCATCCCGCCGGATCAGCAGCGCTTTATTTATCGTAGTAAATAACTTAAAGACAGCAAGCATCCTGCAAAGACGTTATTAGCCATAATAACCATTTATATACCTAGTCTATACACTAGCCTATTACAATCTTTACATGGTAAGAACGTTCTCCCCAGAGCTCTAATGCTTCTGTTTACATTTATCTAGGAATCGGTCATTAATCTTATCCTATGACTTCGAGGTGGCGGCTGGTCGATTATAGTCCATTACGAGGGTGAAGAACTGTCTTTGAGCTCGACTGGTAGCATTCCCGAGCTCAAACTGAGCATTATAAATAAAACGGGTATCCCAGTCAAAGACCAAGTACTGAGATACGCCGGTCAAGTTGTCAAAGATAGTAGGCATCATGGCGATCCCCTATGTCGCGCAAGGTTCTAATATATATACTTCTATCTGAATATAGACGAGAATCTCAACGGATATAAAGACAAAATCCTAATTCTTACTACCTATGAACCAACTGTACCTATTGCCTTAGGCATCGGCGCCGGCGGTAAAATACAGCAGCATATCGAGGCGGACACCAACGATCTGCGAATCTGGGACGTAAATAGCTCTCGGATTATAAACGTGCAGCTTCTTGATGCTCGCTCCTTTCGTCTCGTAACAGGATACGCGCCCCCTGAAACTCCCGTCACAGCCGACATGTATGCCGAGATAGGTTTGACCTTCTTCAAGCTTTGGAGTGACGAGCATCGCGCTGTTAATAATATATTTGGGGATTGGAACAATTTAGTCGGGGCGGCTCAAGTAGTCATGAGGAATGCCAAGAAAGGAAATGGCTTATCCTCTACTGATATAACCGAATATAAGGAGGAATAGGGGCTACTGGAGACTAGAGCTTAGGGCCTGTTAAAGCGTAGAGGAGGGGTAATGCAGAGCGCAGTGGTGGATAAGGACTTTAAATATCCTCTTGTTACGCTGATTGTAGACGATACGGTACCTAAGTTTATAAGTGTAGCTGAGGAGGGAGAGAACTAGAGGTATAGAGTAAGTTTTTTCTCTTATTTATTATAAATAGCTCTCTATAAATGCCCTATCATTTATTACAATAGTTATTAGCCCTAATGACTATTTATTTACATAGGAGCTTAGTATAACGCTAATATATATATATGCTAATAACTATTTTAAGAAATCTATATTCCTAACGTCATATCTACCCAAGACTTATAAACATACTATCTACCTATATAATTATATATATACAGAAGAGAGAAGTATTATATCTTCTAGCCAGTATAGCTTAAGAGTTTTTTAATGAAAAAGGAAACCCCTATCTGGGTAGGTAAAGTACCCTATAGGGCAAAAATGGCAGGGAAAATTATATAGCGCAAAAGGTATAGTATAAAGCAGTTAAGTAAAAACAGAAAATACCAATTAGCCTAGGGTTAGGATAGGGTAGTATTAACTATCTAAGCTATCTGCTTAAGTGTTTTTCTAAGTAATTATTTACAGTATAGATAAGTAAGGACATAGCTATAGCTATAAGAGAGATATAAAATAAGGAAATAAAAATATAAAGTAAACAAATAAAATAAAGAAATAAAGTAAAAAAGGTAATAAAAATATAAAATAAGTAAAGAAAGTAAGGAAATAGAAAAGGTTAAAAAAGGTAAGTAGCTGCTATAGGTAGTAGCTATAAGGGATAAATAAGGTTATAAGAGGCCTTATAGGTCCCTTCTAGAGGGGTTCCAGCTGGAGCTAGCTATCCCTTTAGGGGTATCCTTACTAATAAAAGCTGCTAAGATAGCTTTAGTTTTCGTAAGGGTAAAACCGATAGAGGAATCAAGCTGTGCGGCTGCTGTAGGCCCTGTAAGGTCCTGTAGCTTCCGGTAGGTCTTAGCGGTCTCTTAATCTATAAGGCCCCCTGTAGAGATAATAATAAGGTGAAAAAAGGCCCTTAAAGACAGCAATGAACTGTAAATCGTAATAATAACGGCTGGTGTCACGGTCAGGGTTCAGTATACAGGTGGACGGGGAATGCTTCAGGCGGAATCGGGTCTATTATCTACGGATAGGCACTGCGGGCAGGTCAGGCTCTATTGACAAGACGTAGCTCAAGGAGCTACGTTCAGGATCTATCTGGAAGTCGGTTAAGAATCTAGCTGATAACGTATTACCACGTAATACTGACCCACTAACTGAGTCTAGGGTAGGCTAGTCTGGTCTGGTCTTAAGCTATGATACCTACTAAAGAATAAGATTTAATAAGTTAAGGAATAAAATAGAATACTAAGGTAGTAATAAAAAGAGAAAAGAAAAAAAATACAAAAAGAAAGGCCTTTAACTATAGCAGAGGTATTATAAGTAATTAATTAGATAGATATTAATACATAGGTAGTAGCTAAATTATTAAGAAGTAGTAGTCAAGGAAAGTTAGTTAGACTAAGTATTTAGTAATATAGTATATACAGTAAGATTAGATATAACGTAAGGACCTATTAGGTAATTCCAGAGATATCTAGAGAAGAGTATAGTAAGTAATTTTAATTTATTAGGTAAATTGCAGTAATTTTATTATCTAGATAATAAAGGGTATAAGAAAAAGTATAACGCTTACTTATCCGCGATGCTTACTTATCATGCATATTATAGCTTTATTATCTAATAAGTTAAAATCTATTAAATTAAAATAGTAAATAATAACTATATATAATTCACTCTACTAAACTTAAGCAAAATAATTAGATTCTCTGGTATATATTTATACATAAAGATGCTAAAGTTCCTAATATTCTTTACTGCCTAGAGGCGCTGGCAGGTTTAGGACTTCATGCCAAGGGAACGCACTAGAGTCAAAGGCACTATAGCCTAGGCAGGATAGACTGCCGCGGGCAGTCTGCCCGTCAAGCAGGACTGGGTCATCTTTGTCCCCCACAAGCCTCTTGGTAAACAATCTTCGAGGGTCTAGGCTAAACTTCACAACCGGCTTAACAGACACACGCATCCAGAAAGCCTCATTTTTGCGGTAGAAGAGAATAAAAGCACCCCGAAAAGAGCGGAGAATTCCTTCCTTGCTGATCGGATTCTCTGTCATGTCCCACGTTACCGAATTCGCCCCGTCATCGTGGTCGTCATCTTGCGCCAGGTTGCCGTGAATCTCCATACGTCCCTCCTCCGTAACCTTTGTCTCTTTAGACCATCTCGAAGTAAGCCCTGCCGTACCAAACGGCGTCTCGAAGACTACAGGAACCTCAATTTCGAACAACTTTGTGCTTTCCAGTTCCTTGACCTGTCCGACGACTGTTTTGGGGGCAAAATTGGCAACGATAGGATCGAGGGAGGCGTCTGTTGATCGTACCGACGGATTATGGATATTCAGGACCTTCTCGAAGGTGACTTCGATCTCCGCGGAGGAGAACCGGCTGCCCGCAAGGGGCGGAAAGCGAAAGGCGAAATCGATGCCGATGAGGCATGCCGGTTTACCCTGGTAGGTACCATACTGTATATGCTGGACATAGGCGCTGTAGCTCGTCTTGCCGATGTGTTCTTGCGTGGCGAGCGAGCGGTTCACTCTGGCGTCGTTGTGGATGCCGAGCAGCGTGTCGGATCCGTTAGAGAAGACCAAGTTCGCTTCGAATCCCAACGCGTCCCCTTGTCGATTATCGGTTCCTGACTGCATGGTAAATCTTTTTGCTTTCCTGTTTTTTGTTTTTTATTGTAATTCTGAGAGACACAAATGCTGGGGAACAGATGGTTGGAGTTGCAAATCTGGATCAGCTTGTCAGCCTTGTGGTAAGACTGCGTTCCCATGTGATGTCAAACCTCAGGCATCAAGTACTCACGACGGAGCTTGCCGGCCTTGTGTCCTTACCTCAGCAAGCTGAGATTATTTTGCTCCTGCCAATGCATCGGACTCGACTATACCTAATCGGTAAAGTCCTCTGACGTCCTCGAGCAAATCGCCGAAGCGTTTTGTCTAACCTGCACACTGCTCTGTGGCCACCTTATACTTTGCTTTTGGGATTCGATACCCATGCTTCGGACTGGCTGTGTTGGTTGAAGATTGGTCTGGGTTAAACCGCGTAATTTGACAACGCAAATCTTGAGTGGACGAGACGCAGAATTTAATCAATCGTGGAATAAAAATGCACGAAGCGCATGATTCTATTCAATTTACTGGGCACCTTGCGGCTGTAATTGAAAATGAGTTTTCAAATGAAGTCCATTTTGTGGAAAAAGATATAGATATCGATTAATTATATCCTACGCGATTATAGTTATCTAAACGACTAATATGCCCGTATAACGAACGGGGTCCGGCGAACAGCCGAAGCCTTGTGGATTAGTGTGTTGATCCGCAATACCCCACTTCGCACGACGACGTTCTCAAAATCCCCGCTTTTCTCTCTCTCTAACCACTATTTACATCTGCTCGTTCGCCCATATACACAGTGGTTTTTTACCAACGCGACCCTGATCTAGATAGGACCCTCAGACTATCTGCTTGAGGAGTTCATTTAAGTCACGTGTCCAACTCGACGTGTCGCTAAAATCCTCCTGGAAGTGGCCTAAGCTCGCTAAGGCGATTGTGTCGTTTCATTGGGAGACGTGATACAGACTCAGATCTGAGATTTCGCTTGCGATTTGGCCACGATTGTCTCCGAAGACAAAGCAAGTCTGCCATTTTCCCTCCTTCATGGGCAAATAAGTTTGGTATTTCTTGCCGAAACACAAATTTGGTTCTTGCAACGTTCTAGACGACATTAAATATGGACATCCAGCAGCTTGAGAGTATCAAGTCCACCGTCGGGCTCTACCGATGGAACGGCCATTTCCTAGAGGGAGCAAAATTTATTAACAGCTTACCAATTGAAACCACATCCATGCGGGGCATTGCAATTGAGGCTGCTCAGCTTTACTTAGTCCAGGGGCAGTACAAGCTGGCAAATCAAATCTGCAATGATGCCTCCGGGTCGATCTTCGATTGCCTCGACGGCAATGACCAGCCACCGTCAAGTTGGAACGAAGAGATTGCAGCTTTTGAGCTCATGCGAGCCTTCATTTTGATTGTAAGATACTCAAAGCTCACATCGGCCCTGAAAATTACACAGCGAGTCGGTGATGCTTGGCAGCTTGGAGCTGGTGAGTGATGCGTTCTGTTGATCCCGGAAGATCCCTCTCCGCTGAGATATTTCATAAGACGAGGAAATTGCTTCCGGAGAAGCGGCGATCACAGTTGAGGCATCCAGAGATGACGATTCGTCTGTGCTTCTCAAGCAAGTCCAAGTTCATACCATTCACGCAGCAAAAAGAAGAAGTACATCCTTCTCTGAATACAAAGTTTGTGTATACCATGAAGTTTTTACTGCGCCTAAGCCACTATACTAATTGGTAATGCAAGATTTTGATGAAATTTTACTACTGGAAAATCCTCGTGGTAGCCGCTGAGCAAGGCTTACTCGAGGAGAAGTTGATAAAAGCCACCGCTGCTAAGCAAATTGGCACGCTTCGGCGAATTCTTCAGTCTGACGGCCGCCTTCGTGAAGCTAGATTCCTTCTTTACTTCGAAGTCAACGTCATGATAGATGCACGGCTTGCATTACAGGAACTTGAAGAGTTTCTGCTGGCCGCAGCCGGTGAGAGGTGGAATGTGGAGAGGGCACTGACTTTGGCGGACATCGTTGAGTTCAGGCTGAAATCTGAGGATGAAGCTGTAATGGCAAAGGCCGAGGAGGGATTCGAACAAGCACGCGAATTATTCGAAAGGGTTTCCCATGGATTCGGCAACATCGACCTCGACCTGCTTCGACTGTCATATAGTCATGATATCTCGGCGGGTGAAAAGTTTGTTGCCAAGACGAAGATTGCAGATCGTTACTTTCAAGCTGGTCATTACCAAAACGGGATCCGCTGTCTTGTATTCGCTATTTCCCCCGAGATGATCATCGACGTCTATTATGAGCACGTTGTAAACGCGCTCGAGCTTCTACAAAGAAAGATAGATGAGGCGGGTAGTGAAATCCTAAAACAGCTATCGCTGATCCATTCTATCGGCCAGGCTTGTCTCAAGGCGCCGGAGTATGGTTTTGCACTACAGAGTTTGGAGTCCTACTATGCCAATGTACCCGCTGAGATTGGGCCCAAATACCACAGCTTGATGTCTTCGCTGCTTTCCAATGTGTACTCGACTTTCGGCGAACATGAGAAATCTCTTCGAGCGGCTACAGAAGGCCTAGAGATAGCAAAGTCCATTATCTCTTACCGCGATCAATCAGATGCAGCATTCCAAGTCGCCGTTTGCGCCTTCAGAGTCTCGGAGCTGCATCCGAAGGGGTCAAAGGAGGCAATAGAGTCTATTGCGTCCGGAATTGGATTGATGAAGGAATGGGTCGAGCGAGATGCACAGGAAGGGTACCACGACGGGGAGGTTCAGAAATGTCTCCAGATCGCCGAGTGGGAAAACATGAGAGCTCTTTTTCACCTAGAGTCGAGCCAGATCAGTACATCACCGGCCGAACAGCCGTGGATAGAGCGTGCTAAGAGATGTCTCCCGGACTCAGCGGATGCCATGGCTCGAAGCAAAATAGTAGACCTGGAAACCAGAATGCTTATCTGCCAAGGAAAATACGCAGAGTGCTTGCAGATCTCCGTAGACCACCTCGAAGGCCTGAAGAATTCTACGTCGATCCATCCGATCACTAAAGCGCAGGCTTACTTGAGATCAGCCATCCAGGCTCGGCTGCAGGCCCAGAATGCGTTCCATAGAGGCCAGGAACTCGCACCGGAAACGGCGCAGTCGGCACTGAAGCTTGTCTTCACGGCCCTGCAGTTCTCGCACGAAGCGCTAGAGCTCTACAGAAAAACGCATGGTGCCGAATTGATCCTCGATTGCACCTTGTTCGTCTGGGATATGATCGACTTGATCACCCAAGGTGAGCCAGATGCATCAGGGCAGGCGCTTCTCGTGGCCTTTATGGATGAGCTGCGCCGTACTGAGAAAGTGTGCGACGAGATGAGGCGAAGCGTTGTGCCCATTGGTCGGCTACAGTCCTTGAGGAACAAGAGAAGCATTGTTTCGAAACAAGCGAACCTGCGGCTTTATGGCGTCGGGGTTGCACTGTCGCTGCAGCTCGATGATCCTTCGACCGCTTGGCTATGGCTACAAAAGGGCAAAGCAAGAGCGTTTGCTGACTCACTCGGTGCAAATGTACTCATCCCCGAAGAGTTGCTGAATAGAGTAGCGAATGACCGGGTCGCATGCGAGCTTCTTAAGAGGGAACAGGGAGTTCTCGAAGGCCTGCAGGATCCCCTTATCAACTTTGTTATTTCTGCACGAAAGCTGGCCTCGTTGAGAAAGGAAATGACGGAGAATGCGCTTCTGTCAGAGATCACGAAAATAAGGGACGGAATATTAGATCTCGAACTTGGCGACAAGCAGCTCAGTGATTCACTCTCTAAAAACGGTCTTTCGTCGGAGCGTGTTAAATTTGTCGATTGGTATATCCCACCATCGGCCGATGGCGCCAAAGGCCGGATAGTCCTCTTCGTCAGGCACTTAGATGGCCATACTCAGGCGAAACGGTTGTCTGTTTCGGCGCCCGACGTCAAAGACTGGGTTAGAAGGGCTTTCACATATCCGGACATGGCCGCACCACCGCTAAGCAAAAAGACGGGCAACCGTTTTCTCAAGAGTATGAACGGCCTTGTTGAAGGATTATCAGAGCTGACATGCGAAGGTGATTTATTGATACTCTCTCCCTCTGGACCATTGAACAATGTACCGCTGCATGCGTTGACTGTTGGAGACGAGGCTCTGGTCGTCCGGAACTTGGTGGTGTACTCGTCGAGCATCGCGACAATGGGTCAATGTCTGAACCGAATGCACTCCAGGGAAAGGTCGTCGCCACAAGGAGAACCAACTGACCGATCATCACCCGATACTTATCCAGCTAGATTCTTCGCAGTGTACGAAGAGCCGCAAAAAGTATCAGAACGAGACTTGATCTTCAGTCATATCAAGAAATTGGCGTCCGAATTTCCAGGGGAAGTCTCACTGGGGTCCGATGTCACAAGATCTCATTTCCTCCAGCAGTGCCCGAAGACAAGATGGGTTCACTACCACGGACACGCCCAATATGCCAAGGACGACGTCCTCAAGTCGGCCCTTGTCTTGAGTGACGGCCGGGACGTGTTTGCCAGCGACCAGGACGGTGAAGAAGAGGTTGATTCAGGGACAGAACTGCTCAACGTTTCGGATCTCTTCAACGCAGAACTGCCGCTCGGTGGCGTTCACTTCACCATCATCGCCTGCGACTCTGCAACGCAGGAGATCGCGCCTGGGGACGAGCCGCTGGGGATAATCCCAGCCCTGGTGTACGCTGGTGCCACGTCGGTTCTCGGTTGCATCTGGCCGATTGACAGTCGAGCTGGTCGAGCTTTTAGCGATAATTTCTACAAAGAGCTTGCTCTCGGTGGGGAAGAGTGTGGGGGCGATGGCGACGAGGTTGTCCACCTGGTCCAAGCGCTAAGGAGCACGGTATTGAAAATGAAGAACGGGCAGCTAGGGATGGAGTTCAGGCAGCCTTACTATTGGGCGTCTTTTATGCTATATGGGCTGTGGTACTCTTTGAGGTAGTTAAATAACCGGACTGCTCTTATATATTTACCATTCTGAACTGTTATATAGCTCCTAAGTATATTTCTCTTTCTGCTTATAAAGAGCGGATAATAAATCTCCAAAGAACTATAACCCTTTCCAAAACGAGAGGAGCTATAGTAAGACCCTAGTGCTACAGTCTAAAATCAATTGTTGTACAATTGATTTATTTTACTCCACTTTACAGGGGGTTAACTTGAATTTTGACAAGGGGTAGACTTGAGTTTTGGAAAAATGGTCTAGCGTTAGGATAGAGTGGAACCGAATAGGGGGTTAACATGGATTTTTAATTAGTGCTTGGCTATATATTTATGCAAGATAACACTTTAATAGCAGTGCATTAAGTTCTGGCTCTGATTTACCAGCGTCTATTGCAATAAATATAATATCTAGCTAATAATTATTCTTGGCTATCTATAGCAGTAATTTATTAAACTATAATACTTAAGCCTTTAATTAAGCTTAGCCCTCTTAACCCTATATACCTATTTATACTTTTTTCTTAATATTAGATTATTATTTATTAGATATATTAATATATATACTTAGCTAGTAAAGTTATTACTTATCTTACTAAAAAGCACTATAGAATTAACCTAGGGACTTAGCGCAGACTAGTAGAATCTATTAATATATTATTAAATATACTTTAAATATAGGCTAAACTACCTTAATTATATTATTTAATATTAATAAATAAACCTATTTCTTATCTTACTCTACCTAAGCTTAATATCCTTAAATACTAATACTATAGTTTTAGTATTTACTAGGTTTAGGCAATATAGGAATATTATATTAAGCTTTATAAGTAGGTTAATCCTAGAAGTAAAGGAAGATTACCTATAGGATATTAGGCAGCTAAACTTCTACTATAGATAGAAAGTATTATATACTAATAATTCTTCCCTTCCTAAGAAGGCAGTAAATAGTTTAAGGTTAATATATAGATAAAAATAGAGGCAGAGAGGCTAAAGCTAAAGACAAGTGCCAAGGAACCATAAGGAATACCTAATATTCTTATCTCTAAGGCATTTACCTATCTATAATAAGTTATAGATCGGGAAGCCAGGTATCGAGAAGCTTTAAGTTAACCCCGGATAACTATTAATAACATAGGAACCAACATATTTGCCGCTACAAGCTTATGGCTTAATAGAACACAATAGCCTTCTATATACCGAGGGTCCCGATGTTACAATCCCAGTAGTTACATCACGTGTACCCCACAATTTTCCTCCAACCAACACTAAGCTCACGCACACCAGAGTGAGCCTTGTCAAGCTTACTTATGCATGCATAAAACCTACCCTATAGCTTACTGCTAATATTATAAACCTTTTCCTAAGGCTTACTACTATATAAGTAAACCTTTATATATATATATATTTACTTAGTATTAATTAATATATTTAGCTTAATAGCTATTAATAAAATATTTTTACTTAAATATACTTTACCTACTCTATTTATTATTAAGAGATATAATACTTTACTATACTTAATATTATAATGCCCTATATATCTGCTAATATAAACCTAGTATAGACTAGTTTATCCCTTAGGAATTATAACTATTATATATAAAGGTAAATCCTAATAGTTATATTGCCTTATTTATTATTATATCCTATATTTAAGCTAGGGTTTAGCTTAATAGTAAGACTAGTATTATTATTACTATTCATACTAATACTTTTATTATTAATTATAGAGTTTTTAAACTCTTTATTAGACTTTACTTCTTTAAGGGTAATAGTAATAGCTTTTATATAATAATTAATATAACCTAGGTAAACCCTTTTAAGCTTATACTTTAATTTAATATTAGCTATAATAGGCTTTTTATTTTACTATTTTAAAGATTATATTTAATTACTTAGTAAACTTAGCTTATAGAGTATTAATATTAATAGCTAATTACTTCTTAGCTATAATAATAAATTTAATTGAGCAGGTAATATATTTACCTATAGAGATATATTTAGCTATTTAAATTATAAGGTTAATATTTTCCTTTTAAAAAAGCTACTTTTCCTTAAAATAAATAAAAAGGCATTATATAATTATTAGAAAGATATATCTAAGGAGTTTAATATAATAGCAATAATAATTTATAGTATTACTTAAAAGTATCCTCTTAATAATCTATATATACCTATTAAACAGAGTATATTAAATACTCTTATAAATCTTATAAAAGCAAATCTCTAGGAGCTTAAACTTTAATCACTTAGATAGTATTAATTAGGTTAAAGTAATAATACTTTACTTTAGTATTATTAAGCATTTAATATTATTATAATAAGTATTTAAGATTTTAAATAAATATTAATAAATAGTATACTTTTAACTTAAGTAATTAATTTATATAAAGGTCTATTTTATAATAATTATATTTAAATTATAATAGTTATAATTCCTAAGGGATAAACTGGTTTATACTAGGTTTATATTAGCAGATATATAGGGCATTATAATATTAAGTATAGAAAAGTATTATATCTTTTAATAGTAAATAGAGTAAGTAAAGTATATTTAAGTAAAGATATTTTATTAATAGCTAATAAGCTAAGTTCTATTTAATACTAAGTGAATAAATATATATATACTTAAGGGATCCTTAAGGGATTACTTAGATTTTAGGGATTATAGGTACTCCTGGATTATAGTAATCCCATATAAGCGTAATTCACTTATAATTAGTCTAGTAAACTCAGAAAGCGAGTTCATAATTAAGTAGGCTAAGTTATATAATATTTATAGGGTATATATAATATAACCGCTTAGGTTATAATAGTCTCCGTTATAAAATTAACAATTAAACCTTTAGCTTTAGTTATGCAAGGAAATCTATACTTTGACAAGGACATTAATGCAGAGTACCTATGATTAAGCCTCGGGGTGCTAGATAGATCTCGCCCATTACTATATCGGAACAATGCTTCTGTCCCCTATTTCCCCAAGACATCGGTTGAAGACCTCTATCCCAGGGCCGTCATGAATGCTATCGATCCACATGACTTGCCTCAAATTATTTTTTACTTCGAACCACGTCCTTCCTAGACTGTCCCGGATTAGAGGGCGCAGTCTTTGCAGAAGCCAGGTCTGACCAGGGCCCCGGAACACAGACGTTGCCCCCATCATTAAGGCCCAGGCGAAGAAATAGCTCTCTCCAGGGGTGCTGGGCGTAAAGGCCATGCAAGCTTGTCGGAGTTGGTTGGCCAGCCGCGGGTACTCGAATTTGACACCAGGAAAACCCCAGAAGATAGTTGTTAAGAAAGCGAGGAGTGATAACTGGAGAAGCTCGGGGAAAATGTCGTTGTCTTCAAATTCGAGCATGAGCAGCCGAGATTGAATGTATGTTATGAGATCCTCGAGAGACATCTCCCTTATCTTGTGACCAGAATCGTGGCTATCGTTGAGAAGCTGTGAGAGGTCCTGGACATCCTTTAAGCTGGCATAGAGCCTCCTTTCTAAAGTCCGTACCAGAGAGCGCGAGCGGTAGAAGCAGGACGCGTCCGATGGCCTGAGCTGGGCTAGTTCAGATGAACTGTCGAAAGCTGAGTCGAACGACGCAATATCTTGGTGAAAGGCTAAATTCGCGCCGGTGCAGATGCTGTGAACTAGACCAGTTCTTCCGGCGTTGGCAGGTCAGCGATTGGCCGGAGCCTGAGAAGCTGAATATAGGAGAGAACTAGCAACTTACCGGTGAAGTTTGGATTGGAGCAGAGGGTGATTTGCAAACGATTCTATGCCACCACGGAGGTCGACGATTTTTTTGAGACCCATCACGTGCATGTGGGCGGACTCTACGTCTCCAAAGGACTCGGCGATCAAGGCCAAGCCCATGACGACAATGGTTGTCGAGTCGGTCAGTGCAGTGTTCGGATCAGATAGTTGCTTGTTAAGCTCGTGAATCATCCTGTAGGCGTGAAACTCCGTCCTCTTACTCTTCTGCCCCCTCAGACTATCCAAAGAAAAAGACGTCATGTAAAGGATGGAGTGCAGGTAGGCCAAGTCGAGATGGGCCCAATGAAACCAGTATGCCTTGGGAGTGTCAGGGCGAGAGTACCTCACGATCGGGTACATTTCATCTTTCATGTACGAAAAATCTGGAGGACAGAAGGCGTCAGGGGCAGGGCGTGCTAATGGTCGGAGGGGAGAGACGTACATGCGCATAGCAAGCTGCGCGAACTACTATCGATGTCTTCAGGGAACTTGACGAAAGTGAACATGTCAGCAGCACCGGGGACTATTTCTGCATGTCCGATGCGGGCCAGAGCATCCTCGTCAGAGTCGAGCAGCTCACTTCGTGCCCGAGCTCCGTGGGACTCTTCAGAAGGATCACTATCTCCTGCAGCATGCTGCGGCCGTTGTAATCCCACAGAGGTAGCCGGGGAACGGCCCATCACTCGACCAGGAAGAGCTCGTGTACGGGTATTCTTCCCCCGCATGACGTGACTCCGTATGAGCTTACGATCTCCAGCAGCCGCTTGACCATGGGCGTCGGCGTTGACGAATACAAACCCCTTAGCCGCTCGTGGCCCCTTGAGCATCGTTCCGTTGGAATGTACCTGTACCTTTGGACGGGGACAGGATCTACCCGGGCACACCGTTGCAAGGCTGTTTGCCGACAAGAAGTAAGTTTGCCAAGGTGCCAGTATCACTCAGATGGAAGCTAAGCCATGGGTATCTGCCCGGGTGTGACTGCAAGCGTGCTCCTGTCCGTATGGAGAATGTATATGGTGCCGAATATCGGCATAAAAATTATGATGGGATGGGTGGCGGTATATTCGGCTGGTTGTCGTCCGAATTAGGGAAACAATTGAAGGAGTTAAGTTGCGGAGAAATTTAAAAGATCCTTGCTGGGATATTTAGTTAGCCCCGGAGATAAGAGATAAGGCACTTCAACACCGGCGTGCCAAAAATTCAGATTGTTTCCCTTTTATGGCCTTAGCGTAAACGTTATGCTACTACCCGACTGGTTTCGGATCCCCATCCTTGCGAATCTAGTAGGTACCTTACGTTATTGCAGTTCTCTAGCAAGGCCCTCTAGCTTTCACTATTTATACTCGGAACTTTTTAAGTCTTATGCTCTGGTGCTGGCTATGCAAAGCCCTTCTATTAATTGTGGTGTAAAGGCTTCCTATAGTACATGTCCTAGATTCAACGACTGTCTACATGGTTATGGTAGAGGATTCGAACTTCTGCTGCAGTATCTCCTCTACACTCCATTGTGGGTACTTTATAACTTACATTTCAAGGTATTATAGTGGTGGAGAATCTAATGGCAGATCAAACACATCTCTGCATGGGATAGGTCTGTCGCGGCCTACGATGCAGCTACTGTATAGATCTTGGGCACCGTCGCTTAATTAATAGCTTCTTACTGTTTTAGGGAAACAATCAACTGGGCTTATAAAGCAGTGCCATGGCTTAGTGCAAAATGCTAGTCATAGGTAGAGTTTCCGGATTGTTTACTTAATGAGGATAGGATATTCGGTGGAAGCTAAGGCAAAACTAAGTTAGTCTGATCCAGGCATAGAAGTATGCAAGAGCCAAAGGTGCATGTTGTTTTTCACTTTGTAAATATTAAGCAGGCGGCCGGTTCTAAACCCTCTTATACTGAAAGGCATAGCGCAGTAATGTAAATTCGGCAATTAGATGATGCCTTTTTAGTACGACTAACCACTGTGTTTCGTCGTTAATTTGTTCAATTTTGACTGAGCTGCCCCATGCGCCCCACACCAGTGGCTGTCGATGAGAACATGCCATTGCAGTGGGATTTGAGTTATCCGCCCCCTAATTTACGGGACACAGACATGACACAGACACTTCATGTGCTTTGAGGCTTCCGATTCCAGGCATGGGTGAGCTTGAGCTTATAAACCCGGCATTTAGTGGAACCGCTCTGTGGGAGCTCACACACACTGTGCTGGTATAAAACGACTTGCTTCCTCTCTCAAACTGACAGTCACACATCATCAACCCACCACAACAACACCATCCCATCCTCTTACTGCACAAGCCAGACTCCATAAGAAATCCATCGCAATGTCTAGATACACCGCCTCCCACGCTAACCCCCAGGGTCCTGGAGATACGCGGCCCACGGCTCTTCAGGTCATTGAGGACGAAGGCCTCATCGGCAAGCTCACCGGCAAGGTCGCTCTCGTGACGGGCGCAAACTCTGGTATCGGTGTCGAAACAGCGCGAGCTCTCCACGCCGCCGGTGCCACTCTCTACGTCAGTGCCAGAGACCCCGTCAAGGCCCAGCAGGCCGTCGACAAAGTCAAGAACGGACCCGGCCCCAAATCTAATGCGCCCGTCCACGGCATAGAGCTGCGGCTGGATTCACTCACCTCGGTGCGAGCAGCTGCCAATGCCTTCCACGAGAAGAGCGACAAGCTTAATCTGCTCATCCTTAACGCGGGCGTTATGGCTACGCCCAAAGGGAGGACTGAGGATGGCTTCGAGACACAGTTTGGCACGAACCACTTGGGCCACTTCCTCCTCTTCCAATTGTTAAAGCCCGATCTGCTCGCAGCCTCTAAGCCTGATTTCCAATCGCGGGTAGTTGTTGTGGCCTCCGCTGGCCATCGTTACGGCAAGGTCCGCTTCCATGATTTTAACTTCGAAAAGGACCCTTATGACCCCTGGGCGTCATATGGCCAATCCAAGACGGCCACTATCTACCTCGCTAACGAGATCGAAAGACGGTACGGGTCCAAGGGACTTCACGCCCTCGCTGTGCACCCAGGTATTATCGCCACTAATCTCTCTCAGTATCTCAGCCAGGAGATACTAGAGGGGATGTTGAAGGATGAAACAAGGCACAAGACCATAAAGAGTGAACCCCAGGGAGCGGCCGCGGCTGTTTATGCTGGGCTGAGTAGGGAATGGGAAGGTCGAGGCGGCAAGTACCTCAGCAACCTCGTCGACGAGGGACCGGCGGATATTACGGGAGACTGGTTGAATAACGAGGTTGGATATGCCCCGTGGATTTACGACGAGGAGTCTGCAAGCAAGCTTTGGAAGGCATCAAACGAGCTGGTAGGCTTCGAGAGCGAGTGATAGGATCGGCCCTAGCACACTCGGTTCTCGGTCTACGTATCTGCCATGTATCCTTCCGGACCAATACGTGGGAACAGAGCCAGTAGCATTTGTCTAGTTTTACCTTTAAATTCAGTTTTGGTGTTTCATTACCTCTTGCTTTCTCCATACGCTGTAGTCCCACATTTATCATACTGTCTCTGCAGCCCAACGGCGGTCTATTTTTGTCGTTTACGATAAACTTAGGATATGCGGTAATGTTCATGATAAGCTTGCGTGGCAAACAAACATACGTGACAACAGTCCCTCAACTTACATCATCTCTATTTAATCAATTGATTCTCAACCACGACACGAAATATATTAAATCCTAATACTGAGGGTAGAATCCTTCTTGCCCTTTAGGCCCTTTAAATGACCCAAAATTAAAGCTCCGACGCGCTGCAGAGATTTATAAAGTGGGCCGTATGATCCCATGGCGCCGACAGAAGAGCATTCAATCGCGACGTGACGGGATCCCGAAATCACGCAAACTAACTTTAGAGTGGTGGTGCAAGGGGTATAACTAGCCGAAGGCTGAGAGTCCGCGGGGCCAAATTGTCAGAAAACCAGGTTCCAGTCAAAGAAGCAGGGGGCTTTAGAACTTCAGCATGGGTTTGAAGAGCCATCTTTTTTAAGCAGTATTTTTTAGACCTAGTTATTCCAGCCCCTTATTTTTTAAGAACGTAGGTATAATAATAGTATCCATTTTTAGGCGCAACACATTCATTCGCTTACCCTGTCCCACAAGGTGATATACAGTAAGTGCTAAAGATATATTATCACAAAAGTTACGTCGCTTATCACCACACAGGGAACTAAACGAAAATAGACGCGCCTACAGCTAGATCAAATGAGATGCCAATATGCATACTGTGCCTTATATAACATAAGATTTTTTCTGCCGGCAGAAAAAAGTAAGATAAATATCACGCCAGGCATTAACTATAGGTTACATAGTAAAACGATAACCTGCAATTTCCAGTCTTATAAACTATAATTTCCTAAAGTAAACCTGCAAATACATAGAAAGTATATAATAACCCTAAGGTATATTAATAAGTAGTATCTTTTAGAACTTTAAGAAATAGTAAAGACTATAGGGGAGACTAGTTTAATAGGTTATAAAAGCTATCTATAGACGTCTATAGAACAACTAGAGTCATGGTTATATTTAAAACTTGGACAACGATGAGACGCAGGTAGCTTATAGAAACAGTAAGACTAAGCTGAGCTTTAAACTGTAGCTGCGTCTGCAAGCGGCTTAACGAAAGTCTGGGCGAATTACTGCAAACATAAAAAAATTAATAATCCTGTTTTAATATTCGTGGACTATTTGTTTGCGTGAAGCCCTCTAGTTTTAAGAAAATCAATAGTGTAAGTATGGACAGATGTTAGGTTTAGCTACTTGATTTTTGCTCAATTTAGCCAGTCATATTGTAAATTAAGTGGGTAGCCGATTGAACGACAGAGTTAAAGATAGTATAAGACGACATCGAAACTAAGCAACGTTACATAGAGCACACATAATGGACGGGATAACGACAGATACTTAGTTAGATAGGAGCTTGGGTATGAGAAGTAACACTCAAGCATTTCACAGTTTACGCTGTCCAGGCTATGGGGTTATTTCCAACCCGCCACTAAATTTAATTTGGGAACAGGACCAATTCTTCAATTCTAGAACCTGGCGTTGCAACAGCACAGTCAGCCACACTGGATAAGAATCTTGCCATATAGTTACCAGACTAAGGCATATGTCTCTGTATTTCAGTGCGGGCTGATGGAAAGAGACCGGGGTTGCAGACCTGGATCGGACCTCGCGTCTTAACAAAGTCCATCCCACAAACTTTCAAGGTAGCCTCTCCACCTCGTCATAGTTTATTGCCCCGGATTGGCTAGTTGACAGCTGCTATTGTAAGAATCGGACTTTTTTATATTGCCGACAACTTTAGTATTAATCGTGCTTAAATAGGTAATACGTCATTCTACATTCCCATTCCCGATCAATATAACAACCTGATTGGTTTGACTTTCTCATCTTAAGAAACGATCTCCATGTTTCTCCACTTGTTCAGATTTCGGTGATCGCGTTGGGTTGCAAGACAGCACCCGTAGTCGCAAGAATTTTCAAGTATTTAACTCGAAAGTGGCCTGCATTTCTGTTTTCTTCCTTTTATCTCGTACCGACATTTCAAATCAATCAATCAGGACATATTATCGAAATTTGGTTTTGCAAGCATACAATCTTCCGATATCTACACCAAAGAAAATTCTATTCACCGAATACGATGGGAACTTACGTATCAGATGAAGCAACAATGACGTCTTCCCAAACCAAGCTATTAGAACAAGACCTTTCTGGGAAAGTTGCTTTAGTCACGTAAGTGTACTGCCATGATATAGCGTGTTCATTCCTTTGGCAGGATCCATCCCTTTGCAAATTCTCAAAATGCATTTTCAAATATAAATTCAAGGCCTCTTCAATCCAGTTGTACCTTTTTGTAATCACCGTTGCTGATTTATATATAGCGGCGCTACTCGTGGCATTGGTCGTGCTATTGCGCTTCACCTTGCAAGCCGTGGGGCGTCCATCTTGGCCACTTCTTCATCGCCCAAATCCCTTTATCAGATCGAATCCCTTGCGACAGAGGTATACAAGCTTTACGAAACCTCCGATCACTCGTGTCCTTCCGTCGTAGGAGTGGCGGCAAACCTTTTTTCTCCAGACTTTGCTGATATAATCGCGAACGAGATCCGTGATACATTCGGCAGCAAGCTGCACATCATTGTCAACAATGCAGCTTACTGGGAATTTCGACCGATGGGTGAACTTGATGCGGAGTATGTCCACAGCATGCTGCTAGGCAACGTGCAGAGCTTGGTGTTGTTGATGGAGGCTCTTTTCACAAGAGAATACATTCAACCCTTCTCAAGAGTCATTAACATATCGGGCGGAGTAACTAGGAGTACCCTACCAGCTCCGTAAGTGGCTTTATAATTTTCTATCACTTGGATTTCAATTGCGCGACTTCACCATGAAAGTGTTGTGAGCATGGCTAACCCATCCCAGAGGCATGTTCGTCTATGCTGCCGTTAAGGCGGCCATGGAATCGCTCACCCGCTCTTGGGCCGACATCCTGAGCGCACACAACAAGACACATGGCACGACATCCAACTCGGTCCTCGTTGGCCCTACTGCAACTGAATCCTTTATTAATAATGGTGCGCCACAATTTAGAGATCAGATTCAGAACCGTGGCAAGGGGCCAACAGCTCACCATGGCGTTGGATGGCCGAACGACATTGCTAATGTTGTTGGTTTACTTGCCAGTGAGAGGTCTCACTGGATCAATGGTAGTACAGTTGGTGCCGACGGTGGCATGTACAAGGTTCTATAAATACCAGGGACTCTTGTTGTAAAGTAGGGTATATCTATCTATATAGCTTTTTTATAGATAACATTCATCTTCGTTCATTTCTTAACGAAAACAACCGCACCACGTATCAGTAAGAAGCGAGAACGGCAGCGCCGAGTACCTCGGAACAAGATGGTGATGTCATATAGAGGCAATATGCCTTGCACTCAGTTACCTGCTCCCGATGCGACTTGATAAATGACGATATCAAGTAGCAAACCGAGGAGTAACATTTTGCTTTCGTATAGAGAGGTATCTGAAGACTTCTCTCTCTTCATTGATCTCGCTCTTAGAAGATCAGGATCCTTCTGTATATTGTATATAAGGATATCCTTCCTTTGTGAAACCGCTATCTCAAACTTCTACACATTTATATAAGTGGCGTCTAGACACCTTTCGTCCGGGATACATTAAGCCCCGAAAGTCGTTGGATACAGAGCTATGTACCAGAGACTAAGCTTATCTGATTGTCTACCTTTCGCGCGCCAACGCCTATATCTCTAACTACGTTTGACATTTGGAATTTATGGATTCAGGTTCTTTTTTGGTTTACGAGACTCCGTTGTCTTCAAAATGTGTCGAGGCTAATTGTACCTTTTGAAACCTCGACCTTTGGCTTCTAGCGATCTGGCCGTTCATAGTTCTCATTGATTACGGCGAAATATCTTCCAAAGGGTGACTGCGTGAATTAGAGCCAGATTTCGAGACATACCTACATCAACTATCTTGCACATGGTAACGGACCCGTGAGAAATATGGGACGGACTTTCGGACTATTGAATCTTGGCAGACAGGCATTGAGCAGATCCAGTCTCCAGCTTAGGTTTAGTGGTGAGTTGAAATCGCCCCATATAAAAGATGCAGCTGCTTGAGGACCAACTTGCCTGACAAAGGCCCCTCTGTCTGTATTAAGTGGTCTTCAATCCTTGTTTCCGTCATGGCGGAATATATCCAGAGGACTAGTTAGGCTCATTTATGACGCTCTGAGCCCTCGATACATTCCCGTACTTGCATTGAATAGTTATCAGCGTGAAACATGTTAAATCCTACTGTAATTATCTTGCATAGATGCCCTGAGTAAAGCTGATTGCGAATTCACTTATAGCCCTAATTTGATTCCAAATAGGCATTCGCACTAAACCATGTGTCTTTGGGCCCCTGGTTAAATAAAGGCAAGGGGTCCACCTAAACCCCGCCTAATAGACTTTCGCTACTGGCTCAAAAGCCGAAGGCCAACGGTAAAATCAGCCCCTTGAACTAGTGTGGTACCTGGTTGTTTCGTAGACTGATGAAGTTTTCTCTCAGAAATCCAAGAAAAGATAAAACCATCCAGTGAGCCATGTGTCAGACAAAGGGCAACTAAAGTAAAGAGGTGAAACTTAACGTATAGATCTCAAACTTAGTACATTGTCTACGACACACCTTTTGTCGGGATACAGCGTCATTGATAAGAGCAAACCCCGTTCGCCTTTAGCTAACGCACATCCGGACATTTGTCAGGTCGCCAGTTTTCGATGGATTCGATTACAGGAACAGGACCCCAAGACGGTCTCAGCCAGTTAGCGGTAAGTATGGCATCAGATCAGAGATTAATGAACAGCTCATGATCGTTTGACACGCCACTGGATGCAAGTATTGTTCTGACACAATAGTCAAATAGTGCCTTCGCTGTAAGTCCCTCAAGGTAATCTAACCCTACTTCCTGTGAACCCTGCCGCGCAACCAACATTGCATTGAGCCATTATTTCTCCGTATTTCTCTCTCTGTGTATGTTATACAAACGTATGGAGCCAGCCAGAGTTAACGTCAACCGAGTACAGATCCGGTGCGACCGTGTCAAGCCTACTTGCAATGGATGCTTTGCTCGACATCAATCCTGCAGCTACCTGGAGCGCAGGAGAAGAAAGAAGATGGAGCGGATTATTACACGACCCATCCGTGATGATATTCTATCAGATCTACTCCATAGAATTTTGCAAGTCGAAAAAAAATGTTCCCGTCGGCCGATTCTTCAACCAAGGGGGTAACCCCAACATGCCCAATACCATTCATCGACGGGGATGCTGAGAACTACACAAGCACGTCTTCTTTGGCTTCACCGCTGTCTCCTGGCGATGCATCCTTGATTTCTTAGAAGTTAGATGGATTGTTTACTCGAGAAGACCTCGTCATAAGTACACCAATTACTTGTCCTACACCACCATCAAAACCAGACGCACAACTCAAGCAAGCCTTGAATCGGGTGCTGTATCTCAAACGAAAAACCCTCAACAAGCAAATTACGAAGATGGAATACGAAATCCCTTGGGAGCTTTCGAGGATTTGTCTTGACAGTACGACGTCCCTACGTAGTCTAGGGTCATTGATACTTCCCACCAAGACGATACCGCAAGGCGGGGACCTTAAGCAATCTTTGTATGTTTACTGTCTTCGTGCCATCCCCGCTTGGCAGAAACAAGCTTCAGCGCCTAAAACAGATCTTGTCGCATCTATACTTCTTGTATGTCTCCTCTCAGAATTAGTTCATATCTACCCCTAACCTAGCTAACTTTGGCCCCATAGATGCAAGCCGCGCTTCAGCAGTGCGACTTTGAATTTGGTTGGAAGATGTACAATTCCGTGTGCCATTGTGTAAAGTCTCTTAACATTAATAACCTAGATTAATTTTCCCCAACTTCCATGAATCCCGCTGTATTAGACGATGGTGCGGACCATGAGCGGAAGGGATTCAGGGCTTTGGTACTTGTCGAGCTCTTCTTTCGACTTCTGCACGACAAACCTGCCATCCTCATCGAAAACATATCTGAATGGCGCGTTAATTTCCCCTCTATCACTACCGCCCAGGAGGTTCCCGAACATGTGGCCACGAACTTGACGTTGGTCGTCAAAACTCGACTGACGTTTCTCCTTCTCCGGTTCGAGATGCTCTGTAGAGATACTGAAGATAGAGATAGCGTCATCACAGGCGCTGAAGAGTTGTGTGAAGGAATCGAAAGTTTGATATACGGCTGGTCCATGGTAAGTTTATTTCTATGCTCCGCCACAGCTATTCAGGATATAGTGTATTAGCATTATGCTGTTCAAATAGCTAAGAAGCAGACAGATAGACTCGATGGCGGCATACAAAGATGTCGCCGGGTTTTGGTGGAAGCTCTACGACGTGACTCTCACGGCGTATTCCGCAGTTATGGTCATGGGCCGTAAGATAGCCGTCCTTCGGTCAGTTCTCGCTGAACCATCTGAGGCGATAGATGACGTATCTACCACGCCTTTCTCACTTGAGATTGCATAATGCATTCTGAAACTCGTAACCATGGCGCTGCAAAAGTATCCAGTTCTGGCCGCCGCATCTTGTATGTTTAGGGCATATCGTTGCTATACAGCGTATAGCTGATTAGCTTAACATCTGCTGACTAGCGATCTAAGCGACCATAACTTAGCCATAAAAGCTAACATAGCTTTGCTAGAGCGAGTCGCTTAGAAGCTGGCCATAATAGCAGACGGCGAAAGCGATTTTATGCCGTTGTTATATACATTACATGAGCTAAACACAAGTATCCATATCCAATGGGAATATAGGCGACGAGGCTATTAGCCTATTGCCAGTCAATTCTTATAACATATGTCCGTCGTATATTATGAAAATCCGATTTAGAGCGTCTGTTTTAGCGAACTGTATTAACGAAGCTATTCCCAACTCTAACGGCTAAAAGATTCGCTACCACAACCCACTAGAAATAAGAAAACTATAGTTATACCTATCGTAGTTTCAGTTATATACTACAAAGCTATTCAAAGACATAGTTACGTTTAAAGCCCGAAGGACGTTTAGGATAGTAAATAAAGATTATTCTTAAAGCGTAAAATACTACTAATTAGGCAATTAGTGTTATTATTAAGCTATAGTAAATAAGTAGAATACTACTGCTCTATATCTAGCCTAGCATTACTTAATCTAAATATCAGGTCTTAAGATATATTGTAATTAATAAGCTTATATATAGTTTAAAAACTTAATTTAGCAGGTAAAGGCCTTAAACTTAATAACTACTGCATTAGCATTAGCGCTTATATTAGCAATTATTTCCTATAAACAAGGGAGATAAATTAGTATTTATTCTAGATAATATATATAATTATATCTCGCTAAAGTATAGCAGTTATAATTCCTAAGGGATAGACTAGTCTATACTAGGTTTATATTGGCAGATATATAGGGCATTATTGTAACAGTTGTGGTTCCCAAGGGATAAACTAGTCCATACTTGGTTTATATTGGCAGATGCATAGGGCATTGTAATACTGAGTATAGCAAAGTGTTATATTTCTTAATAGTAAATAGAGCCGGTAAGGCATATTTAGGTAAAGATATTTTATTAATAGCTATTAAGCTAAGTATACTAATTAATGCTAAGTAAATATATATATACTAAAAGGATCCTTAGGGGATCATTGGGATTTTAGAGATTGCAGTAATCCTGGATTACAGGTGCTCTTAGAGCGTGGTAATCCCGTGTCAGCGTAATCCACTTATAATTAGTCTGGTGAACTCGGGAAGCGAGTTTACGATGAAGTAGGTCAAGTTGCATGGAATTTATAGGGTATACGTGACGTAACCGCTAGGGTCGTAACAGTTGAAGTGTAAAGCTAGACGGTGAGAATGCCTTTAACTATGATATAATTAAGTGAACTTGTCATATAAATCGACAGGATAGGTTAAGGTTAAATAGCTTAAAGAGAACCCTGTTTTAATTAAGTAGCCCAATCTTAATAATTATATTAATATTTATAGGGTTATTCTATATAGAAATTATCCTTAATTTCTTGCACATATATAAAACTTTCGACATATATAAGTCTATTAAATAAGGCAGCAAAAGAGTTTATTGCTTTATAGTACTAAACACTTAACCGCCAATATAATTAACAAGCTCTTTGACAGGTAGTAGATACTCTAAATCACCCCTAAAGCTCATTCCCTTCTTTAAGAGTTTGCAATAATTTTTGCCTGGGCTTACCTTGCCGAGGATATACTCTCTTCTGGTCTTGACGCGTAAAGGAACAGGGATACTTTGCCTGACCACAGCCTCTATCCCTTGCCAGGCAAATGTGATAGCTTCCTTGGCATCTAATGGAATACCAGCCTCGTTAAGCATGGTGATTCTCGTGTCATGGAAGGCATTCTGCATATATTCTGTGATATTGGGGTTTCGCACTCCGCCGCTGCAAATATATATTTCTGCTAGCGGACCGTACTGGGTTAGCATATATCGCTTATAGTATTTCATAATTGCCTAAGCGGTAATACATGTAATAGTGGCCATAATATTATTTGGGGATATTCCCTTCTTGAGGCCACGATTAATTAAGTTATATGCAATTGTATCTCTAAAGACTTCCCTACCCGTCGTCTTGGGCGGATTAAGAGCAAAATTGGGATAAGTTTGCAGGGACTCGTTAACTATCTGCTGGTCTACCTCTCTAGCTTGACCTATTTCACCGTCCTTGTCGTACTCTTTCTCGCCATCTATAAAGAATTGCACCGCCGCATCAATAAAAACATTGCCAGGTCCAGTATTAAAGTCAAAGAACTCAGTGTTTAATGCACCATTGATATCAGGCGGGATGAAACAAACATTTGCAATGCCGCCAATGTTTTAACAGGCTTAAAACTTGGTGGGGTGGTGAAGAAGCAGAGAGTCGAAGAAGCCGATGAGAGGAGCTCCCTGACGACCAGCGGCCTGATCCGAGACACGGAAATCAGTAACCGTAGTAATTCCAGTTCTAGAAGAAATAAAGCAACCCTCTGCCATAGACAAGGCAGATTTTATTTGCCCCTCCTCTGGGATACTGAGCAACCAGATGGTCTCGCCATGAAAGCCAACGGTATCAATGGATGACAGTGGAATACCGTGTTTCTGTGAGAATTGCATAATAGCATCTAAGAATGTCTCGCTAAGCAGGACATTGACCTCTGATAGTTCCTCGGGTGTGGTATTGTTGTAGAGGATTATGCGCATTACCCTTTTCTTAATGATCTATTCAAGAGGGATCTCGTCGTACTTCAAGAGCTCGAGATGCATCGGTTTATTTGGTGAGGCTTGTCGAAAGCGATATAAGGCGCAATCAATACCGTCCATGGACGTGCCAGAGTTTAAGCCTAATATGGTAATGTCTAGAGGCGCATGAGCATCTAGGAGAAGACCTTCGGTAGATCCTATGGTAAAGATTCTGTAATATAAATGAAATAATTGTGAGAAACTGCTCGACGGCATATAGTTTGAAAGTAGAAGGCAAGGCTATTTATCCTATTCTTTAATGTCTGAGCCACCTCCAATATCTGGTGTAGTTCCGGGAGAGGTGGTTTTGCCTCTTATACCTCGCCTAACTGGTTAATAGCTTGAACTGTTAAATGGTTAAGCGGGCCTTTTAGCCCCTCTCTTTTGCCAAGAGTTTAAGCGTTTAAGTGTACTAGACGCCACTCGGTTCTCGCCACTAATAGTCGCCCCTGAGCAAAATTTATAATTCGACCTGAGGAATCACGGGGAATTAGCTTCGAGGTTAGTCACTTAAAACGTTTCCTTGGTTCTTAGACAACCCCTTCTTTAATTATATTACAAAGGATATAAATCTCGTCGATTCCACTTCATGCCTGGTACTTAGGACACCATTCATTAACCATCCCATCAGTACCGCAAATATACCAATGTCCAAGTTATTGCATTCTACACTATAATTAACTTTCACGTCTGGAGGCATGTGCCTGGCAAGGCGTTATTGTTTCTTATTAACCTTGTCGCTTTAACAGCCTTGATCCTTGAAGGTGAGTTAGCTACAATTATTGTTGAGATGAACTAACTGATATAACATAGGGTTTAACCAAGGGGCGCTGGGGACTATAAGCAAGACCCCTGGCTTCATCGATATGGCTCGCATTAGCTCCAATGGAGTTATAACTAACTTAACTAAATAAGGTAGTCTTGCAGCAGCTTACTACTTTGGAGGCATATAGGGTTATTTTATAGGTGGTTGGTCGATTGGATATGCCTTAAAGAAGTCGGGATTATGCTAATCACGGTTATAGGGGGGGTCGGGGATAAGATTGGCCGCAAACGCAGTGTCTTAGTTGGCACGCTCTGCGGTATTCTCAGTGCTGCTCTCATAGCGGGCAGTATTAACTCTAACATATTCCTCTGCGCTTATATTATCGCTGGTCTAGGGATTGGCTTTCTTAATGCCATTATACCTCCTTGGGTCAGCAAACTGTCCGAAGCCCATAATCATAGCTCTAGCTTCTCTTTGGTGTTTATTTCCAACTATCTAGGCATTGCTATCGCATACTGGCTTAACTTTAGTCTTCGCAATACTAACACGGAGTTCCGTTGGCGCTTTCCGCTCGCCTGGATAGCCATTCTTCATATTATTGTAGGCATTACTCTCCCATTCCTGCCCAAGTCTCCAAAGTGTATTTCCGCCATAACTAAACCTCAAGGATGGGAACCACTTAACGTACTTAAATATATTGAGTGGATTAATAATCAACATCAATTAAACTTAATCAATATCGAGATTTAATTACATAATATATCAATCTATTTTAATGTTCTATTGATTGAATGGGTTAAATTTGTTGACTTATTGATTTAGGGTAACTTAGAAGATTTTGGCCGGATTTTAGCCTTTGGTCATGGCCCAGCGACCGTGTCATCGAGCCAAGTCGACTAGTGGCCCCTGCACCTCATAATTCAGATCACACTAAGCCCAAGGTAGTTAAGATACGCCAAGAGTAATGCCCAGAATCTAAACGCGACTTCGCGATCGCGTTTCAACGGACAAGAAGTTCCGTGCTGCAATACCAAGGCCAATGACGTGCTATATCCGACAAAATGGAACCCACCACGCCTTTAATGAACGATGAAACTGAGACGCTCTCCCGCATAACGCCTGTAGAAGCTTTCCTAGCAACACCTGCCTCCAGCGTGCAATCAGAAACACCTCAAGATCCAGAACATCAATACCTCTGGCGGTGTTTCCCCGACCATATATGGTCACAACGTGTTCGCGATACATCATCCTGGGTATGGGATTTTAGGTACGATATTCAGAATCTCAATGGCAGCCGGCGGTAGGTCTGCAAACGCTGTATCCAAAACAAAAGCCCAAGACCAAGAAGCTTCGCAGAAAAGGGCATCCAGAACGTGAACGCTTATTTATTTAAAGGTCATGGAATATAGGCTCCTGCTAAAGCGACGACATCAGCAGCTCAAAGGAAAGCAGAGAAGATGAAGACGAAAGATCAGAGGTCAATCGCTGATGTGATGAAGCTCGATACTAGGCTCCCACGCAAACAAGAGATTGCGAATAGTCTTGTTAAGAGCTTCGACCGGAAGCACTTCCAGCGTCTTCTACTGGAATTGATCATTAAGGAGAAATACTTATTCAGCATCTGTAAACAAGGAAGACTGCGCCAGATATTCAAATACCTTAACCCACTTATCAAGATCACTGGTGCCAGTATTACCAGGAAGACTATCCGCCATAGAATTCTATTAGCCTACGAATTACACAAGGGTAAGGTTATAGCGGCGTTAAAGCAGTCAAGCGGCCTGATTCACGTCTCCTTTGACGGATAGAAGTCAGGCAATAGGCATAGCCTATACGGGATTGCTTGTTTCTTTCGGGACGAGAATAGCCAGCCGAGCAAGCTAGTGCTTAGCGTGCCTGAATTACGAACGCGCCATTTCGGACACAACATTGCGGCTAAAATACTTAACGTTCTTAATGCCTATAGGATCTAGGATAGAATTGGGTATTTCACACTGGGCAACGCAGAAAGCAACAATAAGGCCATAGAGGTAATTGGTGGCAACCTTGGGTTTGTCGGATCGACGAAGCGTGGATGCTGCTTCGGCCATACTCTAAATCTCTTGGCCAAAGCGCTGCTGTTTGGTCACAATGTTAAGACTTTTGAGGAGCAGTTATCAGGCGCAGCGGCACTGTCTAAGGCAGAGCACGCACTTTGGCGGCGCAAAGGACCTGTCGGAAAGCTTCACAACCTCATGGTCGAAGTCAGAAGGTCGGACCAGCTTACTTATCTTCTGCGGAGCATACAACGTTCTGAATTCGAAATGTCTTCGGATCCCAGGATCAAAGCAAGGAAACCACTCGATTTAATCATTGACAATAATACCCGGTGGCTTCCTCAACTGTATATGATCAGGCGCGCCCTCACTCTTCGGCCATTCGTCGAGAAGCTCGTCTTGAAGCATCGTCAACAATGGGAGCAGGATAATCGGTCGAGGAGGACAGGCAACCTCAGGAAGTCAGCCAAGGAGCCCCGGATTTGCTTGGAGGAAAACCAGCTTACGATGAATGATTGGGACGTGCTCGACCACCTGGCCAGGCTTCTTGGGTTCTACGATGATGCTGTCAAGACTCTAGAAGGGGACGGTCAGCAGCGCAGGCGGAAACGAGGGTAGGTTAGCTCCTACGGTAATGTGTAGGAGGTTATCCAGGGCTTCGAGTTCCTGTTAGAGGTGCTAGAGGACTACAAGAAGCTTGCGTCTGAGATACCTGACGCGGAGCACTTCAGAATCAACATCAATTTAGGTTAGGGAAAGCTCAATAAATACTACAGCAGGTTAGACAAGACACCGGTCTACTACACGGCTTTAGCGTTACACCCGGCCTTCCGATGGGGATATTTCGAGAATAAGTAGAAGGACAAGGCGGAATAGGCCACAAAGGCGAAACAAATGGTTCGAGAAGTATAGGAAAGGGAATATCGTCACCTTCAGATTATACGAAACTCCGTGGCCGACGAACCAGTTGCCAAGCGACAGCGGAAGTACTACAACCCTTTTCAGGCGTATTATAAGCGCACTCGAACGGTCTCCTGGTTCAGTATGGTGAAAGAGGAAGCTTTTTCGCCTGACGGTATCGATAACGAGATAGACGAGCTCAAATCATGGCAGTCGTCGTAGGAGGATAAGGACAACGATGTTAGAGACCCAATATCGTATTGGCATGAGCGCAGACGGCGGTATCCTCGTCTTTCACGAATAGCATTGAACTTCCTTACGATTCAGCCGATGTCAGCAGAGTGTAAGAGGTTGTTTGCAGCGGCAGGACGTATAGTGACGCCGCTACGGAGCCGGCTTAATGCTGATATTATAGGTATGTGCCAAGTGTTGCGGTCGTGGTTACGGGCTGGGGTAATCAACGAACTGGACGAATTGTTTCTTCCTGTCGAAGAGAGTACTGGTGTTAGGGCAGATAAAACACCGTGGGTAGCGATAGCATGTAATGGCAAGGAGATAGAAGAGCGAGGGTGGATATAGCTTGGCTTGGAGGTCAACGACTTCAACCAATGGACATTCAATTCAATTTGACTCGCAATTGATCAACTCCACTGGGGATTATAATCAACCAGGTCAACTCAACGCAACTGAGGCATTCCGTTGATTAAATTGAATGGTTCCCATCCTTGCCTCCGGCTCAGCTTCTGCAGCGACTTGATAGCTTCAGGGCTGGATGCAACAGTGCGAGGACTTTTATTTCTACGATCCGAAATTCATAAGCTAATGGTCCAATCGATCCAATACTTCGCCCCGCCTTGGGTTATTAGTAGGTTCGGGGTCAGTGTTTTCCCGATCAGTAACTGGATTACCAATATCACAGTCCACAGGCCTCTCACAACAAAGCCTGATAGGAATTGAAAAGTATTTATTGAATATTAGAGGGTTCACCCTCAACTTCAGGATTAAGGTTCAGGATTAAAGTTTAAAGCCCTAAACTTAGATCATAGGACTTTCATCTAGGACTTTCTAGGACTCAAGTCCTAGAAGGAACTAGTCGAAGACATAAGGTCTCAATAGTCCTTCGATTACGACAGAATCAAGAAATATACACAATTCACCTTAATATATGACAGTATTATACAGTAATAGTATCCAAGATACAGAGAGTGACTATAATAAAACACCTGGAGGTAAAGATTAGTAGCTTAATTTATACTCCCTAGGGTTTGCGCTTTTATATCCGGCTACTTAAATCCTATGACAAACAGTTCGTCTATCCAATTCGATGGATGAAAGTCTGGCAAATTTAAACAAATAAGACTTATGGCTTGGCACAAGGCAAGCAGAGTGTTTCACAGAACCATTCTCGCGCTTCATGAGCCTGGAGAAATGTTAATGTGAGTGCTTAACCTTCATATCGCACTCACTCTCACCCTTTGATATACTCGGCAAAATCATCCTTTGAGCCATGATAGGCATCAGCGTTACGGGTTGCGTCAGTATCTTGAGCAAGTAGCATTAGAGCCGGGGTTTGCCCTGTCAAATCCCGACTAGCAAGGGGGCACAAGCTATACTATTCGATTTCTCTTTCAATTTTCTACCAGTTTCTACCAAGGGATCACAGCGCCATCATGATTCCGGAACGATCCACTCAATTCCATATGGCCGAGACTAAATGTGGTCTTTACCATGTTGGCCACACTTGTTTCAACCGATATGCTGCCTAGAGCCTCCATGTCCATCCCGCTGTCGACCGTGAGGTCCGTTTCCACCAGACCAGGGTGGAATACAAAGGCCGTCAACCAAGGTTCCTCAAAGGATAGCAAACGAATAAACCAGTTGAGACAAGCCTTGCTGGCACCGTACGGGCTTGAAGACTTGGGAAATTGGCTAAAGAGCTCCTGTGAGCCGATAGAGCCCATAATAGTAGAGATGGCAATGAACTTGGGGCTACCAGTCTCACTAGCCTTGAGAAGAGGTGCAGTGGCCTGAGCGAGCTTCAAGGGCCCAAGGACGTTGACGTTCAGATGCTTGAGCGTGTTGGACGCTAATGTGTCAAGCACGCCGGCGCCTCCCTGAGCGATGCCAGCATTGGCAATGACGATGTCCAAAGAGTTGATGCCCTTATTGCGAAGATGGGCCACAACGTCAGCGGCGTCCGTCTCAACTGCAGAGTCAAGCTTGACGATGATAAGCTTTGTGCCAGGGCCTTTGGGCAAGTCATGGAGCGCCTTGGAAGTTGGGTGCAGGGGATCGCGGACAGCAGCGACAACGGTCGTGGAGGGCTTTTGTAAAATGCGTTGCACGAAGCCTTTACCAATACCGCGGTTGGCTCCTGTAATAAGGTACTTTGAAGGGGCGCTCATTTTGAGAATTAAGTAATAAATGCGAGTAGATTTAATATAAATAATAAAGCAGATGAGATAAACCCGGTTTCATATAGAGGATTAAGCCTTTTTATCATGAGTAAATGTAAAGAAGAGGCCCTTGAACTGGTTCAATTGTTGTAAATCGAAGATTGACATCTACCGAGATGTAATCAAGCCGACTACCGATCTGTTACTGATACGACTCATGCATAAATTCCCGAATTACAAAGGTGGATCCCTTAGTGGTCTCGGTTTCGCCATACCTGTGACCAATTGGGCGCCTAGCTACTTAGCTATCTCATACATCCACACTACTCCAGTGCTCCAAGATGTAATCATGCCGATTCCCCATCTGTTACTGATTCAACACATGCGTGATGCCCGAATTACAAAGCTAGGTCAAGGCTTGCAACGCGCCAGCTAACCAAGCGCCAAGGACACGGCATTACCCCATTTTAACAATGCTTGTAAGGAACTAGCTTCTAAACTCGGACCGGCTGGCTCAAGGTTTTTTGATCACATAATCAGAGATGGTAGCATATGACCATGCATACGTGTATAAAGAAGGCATGAAATGTGGAATGGAACGAAGAACTATTTTAAACAAAGGGGGCGGTTACTATTGTGCAGAGAATAGGTTTTGTTTGATGGTTATCTCGGATCTATCTCAGACACATATTGTATAATATTATGAGATTAATGAACTTCTGGGTAGGTAACAATTCTTATGGCATGCAGCTAGCAGTCCCCAGCACAGCCAAAGGGGAAATCAACATTCGGAACCATGCACTATCTATTGTCTAGGTTTTGCGCTTAAAGCGATTCCGACCCCCCGAGGAGTACTCTCACTCTATAGTCTAGTCTCTTAGTTCAGCTTCCAGACTTTAAGCTCCGTGACGTTGTAAGATGTCAGGTCAAAAGTTCGGGCCAGTTTTGACCCTCCTCGACCTAACTCTTCACTAGAAATGTTCAGAAGAAGAGCCGAGGTGGAAGATTTAAGTCGCCCAGGAAACCCCTTGGCAAGTTTCTTAGATATCTCGTGAGGCGTGAAAATGTTTTTACCCTTCGACTGAATCTCGTGTTGAAAGAACTTGAGATACCGGCGTGAGTATTCCAAGTCGAGTTTGGTATCAAGCGAGTCGAGTGTTGTAGTGTGACCAGCAATGACCTTCTTCGGTTTCAGGTATTCGATAAAGTCCAAAGTTGAAAGCCAGGCATCAGTCAAAGCTGGTGAGAGCTGGTCTGCCAGCCACAGGTGTAATGTATGGCTGTAGACAGAGTCCCCTGCTATCAATGTGGAGATGGAGGGGATCCAGAAAAGGGTCTCATCAACCGTATCTCCTGCAAGAGGACTGAGCAGATAAATAGGTGACGAGTAGTCGCCAGGAAGGGTAAAGAACGTAAAGTCGTAAGGAGTGGGAATAGCAGCTTTATCAACAATGACATCGTCACCAAGGACATTCTTCCAGGCTACGATCTTTTGAAGCAAATTTGTCAGTCGCCTAGTCTCTTTAAAAGCACGAGGTCAACGCGACTCACCCTCTCTGCAGCATCGTTCTTAATGAGATCGATGGCTTTGGAATTAGCACAGAACTTCGTCTCGGGAAACCTTGCCAGGAACGCAGCACCGCTTAGATAATGATCCGGGTGAAAATGAGACGAGAACGCAGCAACCAAAGGCTTGTCAGTCGTGTTGGACACCCATTCAGCAAGCTCGATAGCCTGTGGAACAGCGAGTGGCAAGTCGATTATAGCGGCGGCCTCAGACCCGATAATCAACGTCGAAACCATGTCCAGAGATGGACCAGAGTTGAGGAAATGCTCGGTGCGGAGTTTTGGGTAACAAGAAGCACATACAGCACTAGCCGCCAGAAGAGACGAAAAAAGATGTTCCTAAGCATCTTGAGAGTGTTGGCAGGAGTCAGGGCAATATGGATGTATGTTACGAGCTCGAATTGGCGCAGCTCCAAATTCATGAGGCATGGCAGGGCATCTATGAATTATTATATGTCTGCTGCATTCTCACATTGGCTTTAATCCAGGTTGAATTCGTTAATCTCTTCTGTTCTTAAACTGAACGGGCTGTTCAACCGATAAACGAACACACTAACGAGATGAAGGGGTAAGCACGAATTAGTCAAGTCAGCACACAACTCTCATCTCCGAATTAGTGTGCTCTAGTCACTTTCCTCTTTATTGGCGTAATAACGTCACTGCATTCTCCAATCCTACTAAGCCTTATGCCAACGATGGGCATACTGCCGATTACAACAACCCCCGATTGCGTGTTGCGATTACTGATCGGAGGCCGGTTGATCTAAGTCCAAAGACGGACAACATACAACATTGGGCTGTTGTGGGTTGGCGTATTACCAATCTAAATCGCCAAAGTAAAATTTACTCATAGCCATCGATTGATATTTATTCAACATGGATAAACTCCCTCTACCATTCGAGTCGTTCGGAAAAATACCCTACTTCGTTGTCATTCAGAAAACGTTACTCTCACCATGGCCGCACTGACCAAAGTCTCTGTTCTAGGCGTTAGTCACAACCACTATTTTCCTGTCTACTGTTGAATCTGAACCTCAAACTGATATTGTACGTATAGGCTTCCGGAAATCTTGGCCCGCCCGTGGTCAAGGCACTCCTCGATGCAGGTTTCAAAGTCACGACTATAACCAGGCAGAAGTCAAAAGCGACATTTCCCGCCGACGTTGTCGTAAAGAGGGTAGATTTGTCCTCCGAGGAATCTCTTGTCGAGGCGGTGAAAGGACAAGATGCTGTTGTCTCCACCGTTAGCGGCGAGGCTATTGCATCACAGAAATTGTTCATTGATGCCGCAATTACCGCTCAAGTCAAACGATTCATCCCTTCTGAGTTTGGTATCAACACCCGTGAAGCACGGGGCGCCAAATTTGGTCAATTTGTGGCGCCAAAGATTGCCGACGTTGATTATCTTATTGAGCTCTCTAACAAGTATAGCTGGTTCTCGTGGACTGGTATAGCCACTGGTGCTTTCTTTGACTGGGTAAGACGATCAAAATATGCCAGGATTATCAGTTTCTCGTAGGCTAATAATATCACAGGGTCTTAGAAACGGCTTTTTCGGATTCGACCTCAAGAACAAGTCCTGCCAGATATACGATTCTGGCAATGAACCATTCTCCGGCACCAATCTTGCCTTTATCGGCAAATGTGTTGCCGCTTCATTGGCCAAGCCTGAAGCCACCGCCAACAAGTTCTTGACCATAGCCTCTTTTACAATTACTCAGAATGAGGTGAAAAGGGTTATTGAAGAGGAGATACGCTCTGAGCTCACTGTGGCGAATGTCAAGACTTCAGATCTGGAGAATATTGGGCAACAGAAGCTTGCGAATAATGATCCCAGCGCTTTTGTAGAGTATCTGAGCCAGTATGTTTTTGCGGACGGTGCTAGACAGGCCGTTACGGAGAATGCTGCTGTTACAGTGCTTGGCTTACAGGAGGAGAGTCTAAGAGAGACTGTCAGGGCGGCGATTGCTGCCACACAATAGACATGTCACAATGGTTAGCCTTGTTCTAAAATTAGACAGTTAAAACATTTACACCCAACTTTCCCGGTTTCTTTTCGAGAGATGTGATGCGACATTGCTCGTGAATTTATATTGATGCTTAATACAGCCTCTGTTTGTGTATATTGGTTTCTCCGCAGCTGCTTTCAATTCTCGAGGTTGGCTTGTTTTACAGGCAAGACAACGAAGAACACAGCATCTTCTCCACAAAATAAGTACCCTACAGTTATCTTTCTAACCTTCTTTCTATGAAAACTGTACAATGGCTGATTCACAGGGATGAGACAATTCCACCAATCATGAAACGTTTATAAGAGTCTCAGCTAGTGGTAACACAGCCCATCAGAGCTGCCGATAGTAACATGCTCTGTATGCCTCAATGGAAGGTCTGTCGAGTCATGGATCGGATCAAAATTAATGGTGTCTCGCATGGAGCCATGGACGACCTTTTCATGCTACATGGGTATTGCAAGTCTCGAGACTAATTTAGCCATGCCAGACAATCTCCTGCTACCCTATAATGACGTTCTGGACCCAGCAATCAGCTCTCCTGACATCAGGCTTCATCAGCGGCTGCGATATGCCAGCCGCGCCTTGTCATCCCGCTGACGGGTAAACAGGCTCGATAGAATGCGCCATTTGTACCGATGATATGCTGGATAGAGTGCATCCTACTGACGCGTTTACAGAAATTGGATGCCGAGGTGAAGACCGAGTTCGCGTTGCGAATGACTAATCTTTTGTAACCAATAGCATTTCTATAAATAGCGTGTAGATAGATTCCGACTTCTCTAGCTCAGCACGTCTTATGCCCCAACAGGGGACTTTCGGGGCCGATGGCCCCCCGGACGAAAAATATACATACATACATACATATCGGCTATTAGCGTGACACAAGCGTAAGAGCTAATTGGTCGGTGAGGCTTGTTAGTAATGCAGTCGGAGAAATAATCCACCCCAATCAGTAACAGCGGAGCCAGTGTAAGGCCATGTCCGTTTTAAAGCTTCTGCCCCTACAGGAACTCTCGGGCTTTGTAATCTCTCAATTCAACAACCCCCAATGTCGGTACTTCTAGTTGAGTTATTCAAGATGCTCAATGAATAACGAGGGCGTCCCCCACGAGTCCTCGCTTTTCAGCCCTCGGAACATCAACAGCTGTTGCACTGGCGAACTCACACTCTTACTACACACCATTCACTAGTCAATCTCCCAGCTACGGAAAGGAAGACATGTCGACATTTCTAGTTACAGGCGGCACTGGTTTCGTTGGCCTTTACGTGATCAAGCTGCTGCTTGAACGAGGCCACAAAGTCCACACGACCGTCCGTTCCCTGAAGAACAAGTCCAAGTGCAAGCCGCTCCTGGATCTTCAAGCTCAATTCCCCGGTCGGCTTCACCTATTTGAAGCCGACCTGATGAAAGTCGGTTCCTTTGCCGAAGCCATGAAGGGCTGCCAGGTCGTTTACCACATCGCTTCCCCCTTCCTGCTCCCGGACCAAATCAAGGATGGATTCAAAGACTGCGTTGAGCCAGCACTTCAAGGCACCAAGAACGTTCTAGAGTCAGTCAATGAAACAGAGTCTGTTCAGCGAGTCGTCCTCACCTCTTCTGGTATCGTTATCTTCTTTCCTCTTTTATTTCAGTTCTTGATAGACTAACGTGTTCTCTCCACCAGTTTCTGCCGCATACGGAGACAACGCCGATGTACTCAAAGCGCCGAACCAAACCCTTACAGAGTTGTGTTGGAATGAGAGCAGCAGCGTCAATCATTACCCATATGCCTACTCCAAATTGGTGGCCGAGCGCGAGGCCTGGAAGATGCACGACCTCCAAACCCGCTGGTCTCTCGTAGTCATCAACCCCGGCCTGATCGTTGGTCCGTCTCTAACGCCCGACTCCGTCTCTGGCAGTTTGCACTTGCTTGAGGCTATGTACTGTGGCGAAAATCGCATGGGTGTTGCAGACCTATCCTACCCGGTTGCCGATGTACGAGAAGTCGCCGAAGCGCACGTAAAGGCTGGCGAGGATACGAGCCTTAAGGGCCGTTTCATCGTGTCGGGTGATCGTGCGATTCCCCTGCTGGAGATGGCTGGCTTCGTGCGTCCGATTCATAAGAGTCCCAAGGCGCTGCCATGTTGGAACCTGCCTACTCTGATGGTCTATGCTGCTGGACCCTTTATTGGCGTCTCCAGGAAGTGGTCGTCTGCCAACCTCAGCACCCCCTTCAAGGTTGATAACAAGAGGAGTATTCGGGAGCTAGGGCTCAAGTATCGCCCAATTGAGGAAAGCTTCCAGGCGCATTATAAGTCCTGGGAGCAGGAGCAGGAGCAGAAGCAGGCGAAAGTTTGATTGACATATGACTGATACGATGCTGTCTGTTCTGTCCCAAGTATGTCGTTTTATTCTAGTAATATCTGTTTAGCTATAGTGCTTGCAATTTCCTTCTTGATAATGCGTTCTTAGTGTGTAGTTATAATTGTATTGAATTGCTATGCAGCTAAAGAGCGCATCTAGCAACACTATCTGGAATCTTTTGCGTAGTGTGTTTGCTTTTATCCTGTTGTGCACTTCCAACTAAATAAGAAATGTAAAAGTCGCTTATCCAGCCATATCTATCCAGGTTCTGAATGCTCTCATTATCCATAAATATCTGACCGTATGTCTTGAGAATGTAATGCCTGGGCCGATACTGCATGTTGGGCAGTAAGGTGTATTGCATTGAAGTGCTTCTGAGGCATGGCATTTACGGCCAATCTAGCGTTCCAACCATGAGAAATGAAGACAAATCTATACCCTGATGACTAAATCTGTGGTTCTATATCCTTCCCCCCATTGCAACCCCCGATGGACCGACAGGCATTGGGCATCCACGAGACCTTTAGCAAAGACGGCAGTAAATGAAATAGCAAATCCGTCGTCCACTGATTAGTAGCATGATATAGTTTTCTAGTTCGGCTGGAGCCCATCAGGGTAGGCTTAAGTTAGTGGCGTGACGATCAGACTTGCAAGTCGGCATTCGAATTGTCCCGATGACTGATAGCGGAGCTTCTAGCTGAGCGTCCCTTTTACTAAGGTAAGGTACGTGCAAGTACCAAGCCTTTCGGCTACAATACATCCGCCTTTTACTAATCTTTTTTACAGCATCACGGACTGCCCGATTTTAACTTCTCCAGGTTGTCTAAACAAGGTGTGGGTCTTGACTCCGGCTTGTCAAGGTTTATTCTAATGATACCATGTCGAGATTCATGGCATACCTATGCTTAAGCGGCCCTTGCTTCGGCTGTTGTTCCTCATTTATCTTGAAGCATAACTCACGGAGATTAGGCAGATGAACTGACTTGGTATCTCAGTAAGTGCCAGAAGACGAGATGCCAAGGTGTTAGATTCCAAAACCGATATATAAGAGAGAAAAGCCTTGTCTTCTCTAATGCCGTATCCTCATCCACTCTACGACTCTCACAATCATAGTCGCATCCCAACACGATCCCTACCAATTTAACCTTACTTCAATTCGTTTCATCATGGTTCCCACGTGGTTAAAGAATTTCGTCCTTTCTGGAGCCCTGCTACAGACTGCCCTTGCTCTCGATCTCCCCAAGTATCGCGGCTTGAAGACAGCTCAGAATGGCAGCGTTCTCGAGGTCACTTTTCACAACCCAGACTCGGCTATAAACCTCTGGGGTGTCGACTTCCAGGATGGCATGACTGATCTTGTTCGAAGACTTGGTAATGATAACGAGACCAAGGTCGTCATCTTCAAGAGCGATGTTCCCAAGTTCTTCTGTGCCCACTTGGACCTTCTGATGCCTGGCGTTGGTAAGTACTAAGCTTCCATTCATCCACTTGTGACAGGCCTCTTTGCTAATATTGAGCCACAGCAACCGTTGGGCCAAAGTTTGCCAGGCTCATGTATGAAATCTCCGATCTGCCCCAGGTGACCATCGGCGCCGTTGAAGGTCGCGCTCGTGGCGGCGGTAACGAGTTTTTGTTGGCCCTCGACATGCGTTTCGCTTCTGAACCTGAGTCATTCTTTGGTCAAATTGAGGTCGGCACCGGTCTCATCCCCGGCGGTGGCGGTAGCCAACATCTCCCTCGTCTTATCGGCCGAGGTCTCACGCTCGAGTATCTCCTCAGCGGAAACGATATCAACGCCAAGGATGCAGAGCGCATCGGTTGGATCAACAAGGCTTTTTGCTCGTCTGAGGAGATGTACGAGTATATTGACGGTCTTACCTCGCGCTTGCGTCTGTTTCCTCTGCCGGCCATGGCTGCCATTAAGAAGGCGGTCAACGCTCGGTCGCGTCCTTCTTTGCAAGATCTGCTGCGCGACGCTGCGTCCTTTGCCGCTCGTTTGATGGATCCAGCTGTGCCAGGTTTAATCGGAAGAGCCTTGGCTGTCACCAACAATTTCACTCTTGGTGATACTGAGCTGAATATTGGCCGAGATCTTCCTCTTGTGTATGAGTAGAGTCACGTCAGCATGACAAACGAACAGCGCAGTACCTCAGCCTAGAGCCTGTTTCGCCCTACTGTTTGGCAGGAAGTCTGGCGAAATAGGGCTGTATTGTAGTGTATTCTCAACTTCGCACCACATTAAATTTCGGAATACGGAGCTGGCGAGGAAATTAGACTCTCTTAGTGATTAACGCCGATGCCATCCAGATCAAAGATCACATGTATTTTCTATTCTTGTTCTCTTATGTTAGTATATAGCTTTTTATTCATTATATGGAAACAGAGTTGCGTTTGTTTATCTGTGTTTGCAATGTAAACTTTTGATTTCACATTCCCTCCATCTCTAAATGTTTTACAGGAACATCTCATCATCTTTTTTGGCAGCCTAAAGTTTAACCTTGGGGCCAGCAATTTCATCTATAGCTTAGATAGTCCCCACGAACGCGCGCGATATTGTGCCACTACAAGTCCTACTAGAAGACACTAGCCCTACCTACACAACGTTTTTGCCTGCTTGACCCTGGCTACAGTTGAATCGCCAATGCAAGGGACCTCCAGAGTGTAGAGGGACTGTCACATAGCAGTGGCAGACACAACGAATCATACGTAGCCCAGGGTGCCTAGAGAGCCCAAGTTCCCGAATTTAGGGAGCTCGGGGTGATTATGCAATGTCGGCAACAGAATGGCCCGAGGGCCCCACGGCTTTTTACTGATGGCACCAGTGGATTACACCACTTTTACTGACAAGAGACTTTCCTACTCGTACCATGCAGCCATAATAAGAGAGTCTTTGGCCAACTCATCAAGTATTCATATCTCAGCATTGTGTCGCATTACAGGCAAACGACATAACAAATACGATCGTAACGCGCCATCCTTACTTCAATCTTCGAACATCCTCTACGACTTTGGCGCTATGTCTCCGCAGCTGCTTGTTGTAAGTGCTTCATGGTTTCAGCATACTCGTCTCCCAAATGCTGACTCGTTATCTGTCTGCGATAGATCACCGGTGTCTCAGGGCATGTGGGCTTCCGCGTGCTCGTTGAAGCTCTCAGCAAAGGGTATAATGCTCGAGCCGTGATTCGCAATGCATCACAGGCCCAGCAAATTAAGGCCACTGATTCCGTAAAGCCGTACTTGGCCCAGGTTGAGTTCGCAGTAGTCCCGGACCTGCTCGTTCTAGGTGCCTTCGATAGCGTACTTGACGGCGCGGGCGGTGTAGTCCACGTTGCCTCTCCACTTCCTTCTTCAGTAAGATCTTTTTCCTTCCTTACTGGTAACAAGATTTACCCGCTACAATCGCTAACCAGAATACTCTCTATCACAGAGCCAGGAATTCAAGTGCGACCTGATCGAACCGGCCGTTAACGCAACCTTGGGCATTCTCAAGGCGGCAAAGAAGGTCTCGACAATCAAGAGAGTTGTTATTACCTCTTCGATTGCTTCTCTCATACCCTGGGACTACCTTGTATCATCTGATACTACGAAAGAGTTCACTGGTAAGTGGGAAGGATAAATTCCTAAATATGCTCATCACAGCTTGTTAACACGATTTGATTCTTATAGTGCGAGACACTTACACCCCAGCCAACCTTAACGGTCCCTTCGCAAACGCCATGGACGCTTACGGTGTCTCAAAGGCAGCAGCCCTTGCCGCCACGGAGCGCTTTATGCAGGAGGAGAAGCCGGACTTTGAAGTTGTCAGCATTCTACCCAGCATGGTGACCGGAAAAAACGAGCTGAACCGCACGCCCGAGGATGTCGGTAAAGGCAGCAACGGCACCACCCTTGGCGTTTTGCTAAACAACAAGAGCGATACCCCAAGTCTCGGTGTGTCAGTCCACGTAAGCGACGTGGCAAGAGCACATATCGACGCGCTGGACCCTGCGATCCAGGGCAATTGCAATTACCTCTGCTCTTCGGGCGGAGTCGAGGGCACCACCTGGGAGGATGCCAAGGATATCGTCAGACGGAACTTTCCCAAGGCCGTGGCTGACGGCATTTTCCCCCTTGAGGGGAGCAAGCCTTCGCGGCCTATTCGCCTAGACTCGTCTGATACGGAAGAAGTCTTTGGGTGGAAGTTTACCAGCTTTGAGGAGCAGGTGAAGAGCGTTGCGGAGCATTATCTGGAACTTTTGGCGGCGAAGTAGGGTAAGCTCGTCGGCCAAGACGATCAGCAGTGAAGAAGCCTGGCTGCAAAGGTCCAGTCTGCTTGCTAGATCCCGGGTAACTTAGATATCAATATTTTGATAATACAATGATTACAGGATATGCTGACAACAACGTGTTCTTTGGTGAAGGTCTATTAAAATTCGGTCTGTGGCATTCCCCCCCCCCTTGTCGACTAACTACATATCGATATGATTGCCAAGCATGCTAACTGCCGTTTCGCTTGAGCGTCCCCGGTTGGATTTGTCAGATCGCATCGGACTTATCGGATCCACTCTGTGGCGAATTCTAGACCTTACCGCATCTAGTCTAGCTAAAGTTTAAACCAAAATTTTACGAATCTGTCCAATTTCTAAGCATTCAACTCAACTCAACCTCACGTTGAGCTATAATGTCATCATCTTTTCTGAACCCTACTGTTCTTCGTTCGCAAAGTTCAAGATCGACTTAGTTACTGATCTTAGTCACATAGGATCATGCAGGAACCCCATATGCAAGAGGACACGTTGGTCAACGATGATCAACTTGCGGTATGTCCAGCACCTCGTGGCGTTGTCATACTGGAAAGCCCCCAGGCTAACACAACTGCTATAGAATCGGCGAGCGCGTGGAAGGCGGGCTCAGCGGGAGTTCCGCCAGAGACAGATTGACACCATTAACGAGCTCCAGGCCAGCAAAGAGTCCATGCAGGCCGCCATCGCCTCAATAGCGCGCGCTGCGGCTCAGCAGGACAGCGCTGGAATGTCTGCAGCAGTGCGCGACGCGTGTCGACTCGCTGGAGTCGAAATACCCCAAGAGCCAGGCTTGTCCCGTGTAGTCCCCCCGAGTTATTCTGTCCGTGATGAGCCCCCGGCGCAGGAATCATCAGAGGTAGCGGGCGCCACAACGGTTTCATGGGAACAGGAGCCAGGCACCACTAATATTCAAAGCCAGTCTCCTCCCATATTGCGCAGAGTTCCCTATACAGGTGGAATAGGCGTTGAGAAATCCCATCATCAATCCCATCATCAATCCCATCATCAATTGGGAAGAATGTCGCCAACACTCGGCTATGGTCTCTGGTTCGGCCCCGAGACTTCCATCCCAATCGAGTATCCGCCCATGGACATTGTTCCATATCTCCAAAACGGCTCTTCGCTCGCTATTACTGTGTTTTGGACCAGCCTGTCTTGGGGCTTCCAGATACTCGGCGCCGCGCTCGGAGGGAACGTTGAGGCGGTGGCTACAGCCCAAAACATATTCAGTGCTATTATATCCACCAGTACTGGCCGAGATGTCTTGAACGGCATCCACGCCCGCCTGATATATCGTAAGACGGGGACGATTGATCGAGACCATCCCGGCAACAGGCCAGAGCAAGCCCCAGTGATATTGGCAGCTATGAACAGGTTATGTGAAAACAACGGAACCCCATTAGAGACTTTTCTAACACCCATTGCGATGGAGGATCTGCTGAGGAACAGGCTAGGCCCTACTTATGATGTGATTGATCAGGCCGTGCACGGGTATGGCTCGCTAGAGGAAATAGCCCGCCTTCGTGGGCTGGTTCAGATGATGACTATAAGTAGTATATGTCTCGGGGACGGGCCACGGTGGCCAACTGAGAAAGCGGAGAACGTGGTTACGTATTGGGCTCATAGCGCCGGTTTATATATATGTTAATAAGTAATAGTAGATTTATATAGGCTTATTATTTATAAATTAAAATAGCCCCGTTGAAAATACTGTTAAAATTACTGTAGTTATAATGCATGAATATAGAGAGGGTTATGTGACTTTATTCTATTAACTATTGTATAAGCCTTCGCTTAGTTTTATTTAACTTTATACTAAACTCTCTTGCGCATATATAACTTTTTTATTATAACTCTTACTTTAATAGAGTTTCCCTAGTCAGGCCTTTATAGCTATATTTATAGGAATACTTATTATTTTTACTAGGTGTAATTAAATATTATAACTATTATAATAAGTATTCTTACCTCTATTAACTATATTAGATAGTTTAAATTATTAAAGAATATAGTCTCTGCGAGGTTACCCCTTAGTTAATAATAATATATACTAATTAAGTCTTCCTCCTTTATAATATCTTAAATATTATATAGAGGGATCCTAAGGGAAAGTAAAGTTAGAAGTCTATAGCTAAATATAGCTAGCGCTATCTTATCTTTTACTATAGTTAGCCAGTTCTTATTTATTATAATATACTTTAAGCTAGTTACTAGGCTATATAGCCTATTAAAGGTCCTCTTATTTATATAATTAAGGTCCTTAATAATTAGTTTATATATAATAGTTAGGTTTTCTAAGGGATAAACTAGTCTATTTAGAGTTTATATTAGCAGAGTTATAGGGTATATAATATTAAGTAATTATAAAGTATTATATCTCTTAATAGTAAATAGAGTAAGTTAAGTATATTTAAGTAAAGATATTTTATTAATAGCTATTAAGCTAAATATATTAATTACTGCATGGTCGCTTGCAGGTGCAAATCCGGAACTGAAATTGGCGTAAGTGTACACCCCATTAAGCGATGTGCAGATCTCTGGATTGCGCGAGCTACAAATAGTGGTGTATCGGTCGATATCTCTTGGTGAATGCTTGTATTGAGTATAACTGGAATCACAATTTGCACGGATACTTGTTGCAATGGCTTCAACCCGACACTTTGGGTCTGAACAAACCGGTGACGCGGGAGCACTTAAATTGCTCAGTGTCGCCAAGGCGCCGATGATACCCGGGACGTCCTGGAAGTTCCCACCATTATACGCCTTGTTCGCAGCATCAATCCACCCTGACCAAATGTCTGTATCATGATTCTTAGACGTTTGGCTGGTTGTCAAGCTATCTTTAAGAGAGATACCGGACACAAGGACTGGACTAACAATTGCGATTGCGATCAGTAAGATCCCGGCTACTTTAAGTAACCATGAATTTCCGTCGAAGACATATGTAAGATGCGCGATAGGCGATATGCTCCATTGCGCAAGGGATCGCGATTCTTTGACGGTAAGGTGACGCGTGAGGGTTCGCGGTGACAGTTTGCGCCATAGGGATTGTTCCACGCAGCGGGTCACAAGTCCTGAGGTCGTGGCTGCTAAAACAGCGGTGACGAGTGTGACAGCTGTGGCAGGTTTGATACCAGAGGCACTGGGATTGACTAGGGACGGGAGATGATATGATTGAGGAGAGGTGTATAGAATTAGGATGAGGATGTAGCCGAGTAGGGCTATCACAGAAAGAAAGAGATTTGTGATGATATTTATGGTGCGGGAATGAGCATCGAAGAATTGTGGTAGGTCCATCATATTTTCTTTTTGTCTCTTTAGACAGTATACCGATTAAGTCTGTGTTGGCTTTTGCGTATTCGTAATTTATAGGCAGCACAACTTAAAAAGATGGCGTAGTTCAGGTCGAGTAGCTTTACTAATACATGACTTACTGGTGGGCAATATATATCCTGCTTATACTTCCAAGCGATGTAACATAACCAATCAAGTCAGAAGGATAAGTAAGTAGTGCTAAGGAGCTGGAAGAGAAGGCAGAGAAATGGAGACATAAACAGAGCTGGAAAACAAGTTTTGAATGGATTTTATCATAAGGTTTAGCCACCTCGCCATATCTCAAAGGCTTAACAAATCCAGCAGACACATCGTATCATTATTAAACAGTGACCTTACGGCTGAACAAAAAGACTGGAGTTGCTGGATGATTGGAGACCCCTTGCACCTTAGAAAAGATAGCTTGAGCTGCGCACTGTTATGTTAGACTTCCTCAACCCTAGAATGCATACGGGGTCGCAGTCTAGACTTGCCAAATCATCGTGAGATTTACGCTTAACCTTGGGCTTAAAGTCCATACTGATGCCGGATGCCAGGCTTATCTCAATATTCATACGAGTCTCTTAACCAAGAAAGCTAAGGTTTGCTTTAAGTCAATGAAGGGTCATTTTGAGTTATTTTTTGGCTTACGCCACCTGATTGTGACATGGCCAATGACGGGCCACGGCTTGGCTTCTATAGCTACAATCAGAGCACGCCGTCTTCCTTTACAATTTAACAAACAACCCACAACCTCGCACCTCAACCCCGCAACACTTAGCCACTATCGTCACCCTTACTTCACATAAATATGACTAAGATAACTCGATAATAAATCAGCAGGTATAGCTCTAATTAGCCAATTGCCGGTAGAAATTTTAATATTTCTAAATAAAACTATTCTACTATCTTTTCACATATCCAGCGCCCAGGCAGCCACTTATTTATCATTAAGTTGATGTAGACTACTAAGCATATTATGCATCTCGTCGTCATCCTCAAGCCATTCGTCTCCTTCGGCTGGTCACGCTGTGGTCATTAACCCATGCATAATATACTATTACTTGTATGCTGAAGCTAGCTTCCTATGGCAATTCGACAGAGAAACCTGCGTCTTTGGGAACATTGCCGAAAAGCCTAGATCAAATCACCCCAGGGGTTGTCTTATGACTTCATTATTGCCGCTCTGCTGCGGATTTAGGCTTAAATAAATAGGGGCTGTAATAATGGTTGTAGAGTCTGCAATTTAATTGTATTACCTTTAAACTACGAGTTTAAGCTTCTGGTCCGCGATTTAAGGTTTAAGCCTAGATCCGGGCTATTTAAATATAAGTATAATTCCTTATAAGTTAGATATTGCTAGCAGCTAATAGCCTTAAGTGGGAAGTTTTCACTTAACCTATATATATTAATAACCTAAGGCATATTTAGCTATAGTGTTATTATTATATTATTTGGTTAAAAAGATATGGGATTATTTATTTATATTGGGTAGTATATATCCGAGGATAGGTATAAGCTATAAAACCTAAAATTAATTGCAAACTCTCCGCTTTATAGATATTTAATTATTTAAAAGCTTAATAATAACCTAGAATCTAAAGTAAAATTAAGTTATTACTATTTTATTTAATTTTATATCCAAGTTTTAATTACTTAGAAATAAGTAATTTAAGGTAGTATACCTTAAAGCTTTTGCAGACTTTTAAATACTGATTTTATTGCAATTAAACCTATAGACTCTATAGCCACTAACTTAGATTTGTAGTAAATTATCATTATAGAACTAACTCTCATATAAAAGCAAGGATGCATTATACACAGATTAGTAATTATAGCGCAACTAGCTAAAATTAAGGAATAACTTAAGTATAATAAGTATAACGTGTTTGATAAGCGAACCGGCCAGACAACCGAACCGGCCAAAAATCCCTTACCTTATATTAACACTATCAAATCAATTATTTCTTAATTACCATAAATGTCACAAGCTATTAAAGAAGGCAATATACTTCTAGCACTTCAAGCTTATTAAAATGACCTAAAATTAACTCTGCGAGGCGCTGCAAAGCTCTATGACATTAATCATCGGCGACTCTCTGATCGCAAGAAGGGCATTTAATCACGACGTGATATTATAGCAAATAGGCGGAAGCTATCTGATCTAGAAGAGCAGATACTACTTCGGTCTATTATAGACCTAGATCTACGAGGATTTCCTCCCTAAATACGTATTATTGAAGAAATGGCCAATCGACTCCTTGCTAATCGCAATGCACTACCAGTTGGCAAGCGCTGGGCTATCAATTTTATTAAGCAGCAACCAGAGCTTAAGATGCGTTTTCCTCGGAGATATGACTATAAGAGAGCCTTATATGAAAATCCGACTATTATTCGCAATTAGTTCAGGCTTATAGAGAATATAATTGCGAAATATAGTATTTATATAGATAATATCTGGAACTTTAATGAGACTGGCTTTATGATGGGTATGATTTTAACCGGCAAAGTAGTCACAAGTGCAGAGAGGCGCGGAAAGCCAAAATCAGTCTAGCCTAGAAGCCGGGAATAGGTTACAGTGATTAAGGCGATTAATGCAGGAGGCTGGGCTATTCCGCCGTTTATCATAGTTACAGGCAAGAATCACCTTCGCAGCTGGTACGAAGGAAGCAGCCTCCCGGTCGATTAGGCTATTGCTATAACTCTAAATGGATAGACAAATAACAAGACTGGTCTCGACTGGCTAAAGCACTTTGATTAGCATACAGCTAACCGATTAGTTGGTACTTATTGCCTTCTGATCCTTGATGGTCATGAAAGTCATTACTCGGCCGACTTTAAAGCATACTGCAAGGAAAAGAAGATTATCCCGCTTTATATGCCTCCTTATTCCTCTCATTTACTCCAGCCTCTTGATGTCAGGTGCTTTAGGCTACTGAAAAAGGCCTATAGTCAAGAAATTAAGCATCTTATAAGACGCTCTATAACCCATATCACTAAGACTGAGTTCTTTCCCGCCTTCTATACCGCTCACCAAGCTACTTTTACAGAAAGCAATATCAAGGGAGGTTTTAAGGGGGCCGGGCTTATCCCCTTTGACCCAGAACATGTTACCTTAAAGCTTGATGTGCAGCTACGGACTCTAACGCCTCCCGAGGAGGGTACCGGCCCAGCTCAACCTTGGACCCCAAAGACACCAAGGACTATCAATAAGGCTGATTCTTATTCCGAATACCTTTAAA